ACTGGACATGCAGGGGTATATTATGATCCTGCATCAGTAACTGACCAGAAAAAGTTTCCTGAATTCCAGCCGAAAGCATTAAGTAGTTTTCAAAGACATTGCAATCCAATCGTCCAGGACCATTTAACTGCCAGTAATGCGGCTCAACGTAACTGAGGAGCAACCAGCTTAACTCATGATTTACTTTTTAATATTGCAATTTGGAGCCTGATAGTCCAATATCCCAAGGTGCAAGGCAAAAAAATATATATTAAAAAATATTATTAAAAAGGCAAAAAAAAAAAAAAAAAAAGTATTTCACCTACATCACAGGGTTACGGAGAGTCAAATGCATTAATAAATCTAATAGACGACAGGTGTGTCATTAAAGGGACACTGTAACTGCTTCAACTCATTGAAGTGGTTATAATGTCTGGAATCCCCTGGTACTGTCTTTCCATTCAGCATTAAACTGTTTTTTATGATAAATGAGAATATCCAGCAGCCCATTCTCTCTCTGCTTCTTGGGCTAATTAGAAAGCATTAGCATGAGCAACAATGGCTCTGGTGATTGCCTCAGAGTGTCAGCTGACCACTTGTAGCCTATCACACTGCCCATTGCTGGTACAAATTGATATGGCAAGAAGGAACTATGTAATCTCTGCCTTAGCCAGTAAGGGACAAGCAACCAAGGACCCATAGATAATATTAAAATGCCTAAAAATAGGGACTTCAGGCACTATAACCAATTCATTGAGGTGGTCATATTGAGTTACTGCGTCCCTTTAAATTAGTTTCTATATGGATATTATAGTGTCAGTAGAGTGTGTGTTTCTTTAAGGTACCTATAAATTGACATGCGTAGTTGTTGTGATTGATTTTCCTAGTTTATGTTAATTAGAGTGCTTATTTGCCTTTAATTTGTCTAATTGATTAACAATTACTCGTTAATGAACTTTGTTTGCACAGGTCATTAAGTCGGGGATGGTGTTTGTCATTCGTTCTGCTTATGTGCTGGGATTCTTGATAGACAAGTGTTTATAGTGTCTTGTCAATCTTTTTATGTGTTGAATTCAATAAGTGTCCAATAGCTCTGTTAAAATATTGATAACTCTTTTTTGATGGATTGTGATTAACAAGTGTTTGAGTTTATATTACCCATTTTCACCAACCAGATTAAGAGTCAAAAGTTTGTCAAAAAGTATATATATACCATTAGAAACCATCATCACATACAAGCGTTATTACATCGCAGTAGCAGGAACGTTTTATTGACTTGTATATATAAACGTTTCTCCAAATATTCTGGGTCCATGGGAAATTATGCTTATACACGCACAATATTTCAATATCAACAAGAGTGGTGCTATTTGTATCTATGGTATCAGAAAAAGAGCTAAAGTATGGATAAAAACTGGAATAAATCTGCGGTTGACAGACTGCAAAATGCTGAAACAGGATTTATAATCACTATAGTACCTATAGTCCATGTATGTACCACTGAGAAGGCTTGGATGCCACAGAATGCAGGTAGGAGAACCAAACATCAAGCACTCCATCCTTCTCTTAGCCTGTAGTAATGATATTTTCAGGGGTATCTTTTTCAACTCCTTATCGAGCTGTTGTATTGATGGTACAGGAGAACCTTTCCCAGAGTAAAATATTGATCTTCCAACTGACTCCGCCATCATCAAGCATGTGCTCTGCGTGTGTCATGCCACGATAGGAAATAGCTTAAATCCCAGCATAAGTATAACACATATTGTATATAACAGACCACCTTCAATGCTTCATATAGCTAACAAACCAATGCATCAATTTGCTAAAGCCAAAGGCTTTACAAAGAAGAAAACTTAGATCACAAAGGGAAGAAGTAATCCCTTCTACACATTGGCCTTATTCCAGCATATAATAAAGAAAAAAAAATGCTGAGATGCTTGGGCAGGTTTGTGTTGGTCCATCGGCCAACGTTGCATGAATATACAATGATCTGCTTTTCAAGGCATGGGCTATGTTTGATGGTCAATGGAGAACAACAATAAACACACAGATAAATTGCTTTTGCATTTACACAAATTGTATAAAGAATTGACAATAAGAAAATCTATTTAAAAAAAAAAAATGTAAAAGTTATAAAACCCCTTTAATTGCAAAAGTTAACGAGGAAGAGAAACTCGTTACAAATGATGAAAAAAACTACGTAACAACAACCTGGGATTTATTATCTGCGGATTAGTGGATTTGTCAAGTCAGTATTTATTGGAAAAAAAAAACTGAAGTGCAAAGAACGAAAGAATCCCCATTGATTAGACAAAGATAAGTCTTAGAGTGAGAAAAAAAAAAAAAAAAAAGTATAACTGTGTCCAAAAAGCTCTGCTCTCTAGAACAAATAGTGTTACTCGGATAATTGGACATTTAAAATATGTAACTTGCCCTGTGTAAACCATTAGGGTATTGGTGATCTTCTATGGAAGTTGTTTATTGTAGGAAAGAACTACTTTGTTCTTTGTGACATGGCAGAAATCCGATAATAACCCGCAAAGCAGAAAACTACTTATAATAAGGAGACATCTTGTTCCTGGCGCAGTGGTGCTTAATTTCAAAGCATTGTCATGAATATCAAATCCATCATTCATTTAAATTAACAGATCAATTATGTTTGGGTACTGATCATTTATCAGATTAATTATTTAAAAGCTTTGTAAAACTTCACTAATAACCTTCAAAACTCTTAAGCTATTTAAGCAAGTTCACAAGAAAATACAAAAATCACTGTAACGAAAAAGGCTAACCAGCTATATCAATAATCCCCTCTCTACTATCATGATGAACATGCATTGCCTTTAAAATAATCAATGCAATAAAGGAATATCATTCATTTCAACAATGAAAATATACGAGGTCCGTCAACACTTCTTTTGACTTTAACATTGATTGCAACTGATACAGTATTAGTAGCATTGAGACTTGTCATATGGCATATTGACTATCCCACACGTTTTTTCCCCAAGACAAGCAAAGTCCCACTGGTTTTATTTGTGAATAATTATTAACTATAAGGGATGTTGTCATCCATAGATCATATATTGCAGTGTTCTCTTCACTACACACTGCAGGGCTCACTTCAAGTAAGTATTCAAACGTAATGGAACACTCCAAGCACCAAAACAATTTAAATGGAGGCACTCTCATCTCAAGGGGTAAAACCCTTGAATCAATCAGTGACTCCACCTTCACTAAACTGGCTTGCACGGAATCTTAACTTTTGCAAGCCAGTTTAGTGAATGGAGAATCACTGATTGGCTAAGAAGTTGTTTTGGCACTTTAAGTGTCGCTTTAAGCTATAAACCGTGTCAGTAAGTAAGGATGCGCTAGCGAGCATGTGTAAGAGAACAGCTCTACGTTCGGGGGAACTCCCCCAAACATAGACCAGTTCACTAGCACAGGGAATCCCGCTAATCTATGTTCGGGGAAACTTCCCCGAACATAGATTAGCTCACTAGCGCAGGGAATCTCAGAAATCTATGTTCGGGGAAAATTTCCTGAACACAAACCAGTTCTCTAACTTGTGGAATCACCTAGAATCCCTACGGTAGAGATCTGGTCTAAGTGCGAGCTGTTGTAAAACAGGTAGGTCGTAAAGTGAGGACCACCAGTATTTAACAGATATGTGTTTGTAACATTTGAAAAGTAATTTAACACATGGAGATATTACTTCTGTCTAGGTAGACGTGAAGAAAATATTTTAGTTTTTTCTCCCCTAATGCAATGTATTGGCTCTGCTAGGACTGAACTGGATTACAATGGGAACTACTTTTTTTTTTATTTTTTTAAATATGTTTAATAAAGAAAATTGAGCATCGGATGAAAAAATGTCAATAAATGATTTAGGTAATTTTCAATGATTTATTCAATTGCACAATCTACAGGTCCACTAAAATTGAGAAATGGGTAGGCTGACAAAAAGCATAGATGACATTAAGATGACTCAAAAAAAAGATTGGACAACCAACCAGGGCCAGATTAAGAGCCCATTGGGCCTGGTTCTGGCAATTATGATGAGCCTAATCTTATCGACAGAAAAAACTAAAACAGTCATACCTCCCAAGCTTATCTGGTGGAGGTGGTGCTGGAGGGAAACTCACAGGATATAGTTTTAAGAAAACACATATCCTATGCTAATCTCTCGCTTTCATCTTTCATGTAAATCCATACCTCCTAAGAGCAGTGTCTGGTATAGCAGGATTTCAGGGTAAAAGGGTGGGCCACTGACGCAAATCATGTAACCAGAACCGCCCAAAGGGGCGAATATGCCGGGGCTTGTATGCCCCAAGAATTCTAAGACCAGCCTGGCATGAATGCCTTTCAATCATGCAGGCTGGCCAACTAAGGATATACTTTGCAGACAGCACCCTGAGCTTGACATAAATGAGTCTAATGATGCGCTCGCTCTACTCTTTCTAAGGACTGTCTGCTAGCACTCACTCGTCCACTCCTCTATTTACCTTCTTACTAGCAAGTAGAAGCTCCTGGTATATAGTATGGGGCAGAGAAAAGCTGTATGTAGTGAGTGGAGAAGAAAGAGAACATGCCACAGCGTTAGAGAGACTGAAGCAGCAAGAGCCTTTGCATAGTGCGCAAAGCCAGCTTTACACAAGTTTTGTTCCTCTACATCCCTTTTAAGTTTCCATACTTAAGCAAGAGCATGTGAAGAGTCATAAAGACTCCTTTTTTCTTTTTTTTCCTCAATGAGCCTATCCATGGGCATGGGCCTGGAGCTGCAGCTCCATCAGCCCCAATGTTAATCTGGCCCTGCAGCCAACCACATAATATACACAAATGAGTCTCTTTAAATTGTTAGTCGACCAAAGTTGCAACACCCAGTATTTTAGCCACAAAAACAGGGAAATGTGCCCTTTATAATTTTATAAATAACAACTAGAAAAAATATCATTATAATAGGAAAATATTCTGACACATACATTTAATATACCTTGTCAGTTTCTTTAGCAGGCTTATATTTATTCTTCAATATTCTTAACTTCTGTGGTGAGTCCAGTAGTGGCCAAGTCCTATTTGAAACAATGAAAAGAATAAGAGTTATAATAATGTAAAATGTTTACATATATATTAGAAAGTAATTTTGTTGACAGACACATTCGAATTTTACTCTATTTAAGGAAAACTATAATTAAAATGTGTTGTGGTTAGTGAAACAAAGGACCATCTGTCATAGCTATGTGGGTGTAATTTTCTCCAAAAATCATGATGCACAGGGTAGTTTAATATCTGTGTCTCCAATATACATATCCCTCTCTCCCAGATCCCATATCTGTCATGATTTCACTTCTATAGGCTCAATGTTTAAAGGTTGACTCCAACCACCATAACAACTATAGCCCACTCTGTACTCTTGGAACTCACTATCCATTGGTTATTTTGGCTCACGTTGGCCGGCAATGATCTCTGGTAATCCCGGATCTGCATAGAGTACCCAGATGTATGAGGTCTCACCTCTCCTCCCTTTTTAGAAGGGAAATACATCAGTCGTTCCGATGCTTAGCACCATTTCCATCTTGACATTGCTAATGAGCAGTCCCTACTTTGCTTAAATGTACTTACAAAAGAGCCACATGTGTCTGCTCAGATGTCAATGTTACGCTCTCTAATTCTAGGTACTTTGTGATTTTTTTTGTCTTACATTCTTTCGAAAACCCAATAAAACTCTGATTGTCAAAAAACAAACAAAAAAACAACAACTACAGCCCAGCAGGATGACAATCCTGCCACTCATTCATTGGCCGAGATTGTCAACCGACCCGCTCTTAGACAATGAATTAGAGGTTGTTCAACAAAATGAACTAGTTCTGGGATTGCTGAGGACACCCCAGTGATGCTGCCTGGGATGGAGGAAGCAACCCATTATGTGCAGCTTTTCAAAGAGAAACGCTGCACATACAAACTCCTGGCACCATGACCATTTCAAATAACTGAAGTGGTCATTGTGCCTGGAGTAACCTTTCAGGCCTATTATGGATAACTTCAGTACTACACAAGTTCACGATCCACATTTCCAGTGATATTTAGCCTACTTAAAGGGACACTATAGTCGCCAGAATACAGCTTATTGTATTTGTTCTGGTGAGTATTATCATTCCCTTCAGGCTTTTTGCTGTAAACACGGTCTTAACAGAGAAAATGCAGTGTTTACATTACAGCCTAGGGATACCTCCACTGGCCACTCCTGAGATGGCTGCTCGAGATGCTTCCTGGGGGTAGTCCTGCCTAGTGTGCAGCACTGCCATTCAGTGTCTCCACCCAGTGCTGTATTTTAAATTTGTGCTGCCCTAGGCATGACAGAGCCCCCCACAATCTAAATTTGCATATTTTCCTGTTTAGGACCAACACGCAGTTTGACTGACAGACACACACTGACATACATTCAGTGACACAATTCACTGACAGACACACACATTCACTCACTAACAGACACACACTGACAGACACATGCACTAACTAACAAATACACACTCACTCACATAAACAGACATTCACTAACAGATACAGTGACAGACACAGACAAACACACATACACTCACTAACAGATACACACATTCACTGACAGACACACACTCATTTATTAACAGACGCACTCTCACAGATATACATTGACAGACACATACACTCACTAACAGATACACATTCACTGGCAGGCGCACACACACACACACACACATTCACTGACAGACACCCTGATACTTACAAACATTGTCTAACACAGAGCTGGAGTGGATTCTTCAATGGGGTCCAGTGGGGCTGGCTCCTGCTGCTGGGCGAGTAGGCATGAAGGCACAGGCAGCAGGCGGGCACGGGTAAATGGGCCAGCGGCCAGTCAGCCAATGCGGGAGGCGAGGGAGCATTGTCATCTGAGCTCTTCCTGCTCAGCTCCCTTACGCGCCTCGCAGTGCTACTGGGAGCCGGTATATGACATCATATTCCGGCTCCCATCATCACTGCGAGGCGCGCAAGGGAGCCGAGCAGGAAGAGCTCAGGTGACAGTGCTCCCTCGCCGCCCGCATTGTGAGAGGCTTAAACGCCTCTGGGGAAACCCTGAAGTGGCCAGCTGGCCAGCTCTTGGGTCCCCCTCAAGAGAGGCTCATAGGGCACATGCCAGGGCGCTTGGGGGTGGCAAATGCCTTGTTAGCCTCGTTAAAGATACAGCGCTATCTCCACCCTCTGAATGCAGGCACTGAACTTTCCTCATAGAGATGCATTGATTTAATGCATCTCTATGAGGAGATACTGATTGGCCAGGGCTACGTTTGACTTGTGCTGGCTCTGCCCTGATCTGCCTCCTTGACAGTCTCAGCCAATCCTATGGGGAAGCACTGTGATTGGCTCAGATTACTACTTCTGATGATGTCAGCAGACAGAGGCAGTTCACAGGCAAACAGGGGCAGAGCCAGGAGCTGCAGACTTGAATACAAGTAAGATTTTACTATATTTAGGGAGGCAAGAGGGGTCCAGGGGGGCTAGATGGTGGTTTTAACACTATAGGGTCAGGAATACATGTTTGTGTTCCTACCCCTATAGTGCTCCTTTAACATCTATAGTGTTATTCTTTAGTACATATTCATTTAGCAGACAGCACAGAGCTTGGCAGCCAACAAACATTCTAATAAAGTAATACATTATTATAATTATTTCACAGAGCTCCAACATAGACTGCCGTGATGAACAAAAAGATGCGGTTAAGAAAAATTAAAGTGTAGCCGTACACGAATGGTAGTAGATTTTATTTTTCTGGGGTTTAAGACACAAGCCATCTCCATATATGTCAAATCTCACTTACTAGACTTTTATTACTACCCTTATAAAAGTTTAAAGCAGGGCCAGTAATTATATCTTGGGAATAAACGCTTATAGCTTAATTGCACAACTGGTGGAATGCACAATTGAGAAGTGTAGCTCCCATTAAATCAGACACTAAGCAACAGCATTCTAATGTGCGGATCTCTGAGGTACAATTTACACGAACAGCTGAGCCCTTAGCCAGAGAGTGGGCGGTTTGAGCGACCTGCGCTGTGATATCATGTTAGCGCCATTTACAGCCAGTTCACGAGGGCAAGCTTATCTCTCCCACACAGATAGCAGCCATGTGCATGCTTAAACAGATTACTGTAGCACCAGTAGTCAGCAATTAATAATCACAGACATTGTAATATTTTTCTGAAATATTTTTTTTTTTTCAACACCTGTTTTAAGCTGGCCTGCTTTTAGCATCCCAGTCGCTCACAAAGTGATTTATTCACAAAACAGTGAGTTGTCAATCTGACCAACCGAGTAATTTTGGGGGGTAAATAAATATTTAGTTACCATCTACTACTGTATTGTTATTATTTATTAAAATAACCCCCCCGATAACACATTTAAACTGCTTTGTTCTAGAATTCATATCAGAAATATGATTAGATGAGGATAAAAGATTTAAAAAAAAAAAAATTAAGAAATATAAACACTATAAGACTATAAAACTTTATCAAATAATTGCGACTCAGATGAGAAGCCTTAGCCCAGTTTGGTGGCAATTCCGAATTTCGGTGAATGGTGCTTCGAGTGCCCCTTTAGTGTTGGAATCACCTGGGTTTAGCATGAAAACGACTTGACAAAAATCAAAGGCACAGAACTAAGCTATGGCGGATGTGTTGCTTGGAATGTCCCTTTAAAGTGTTTTATGTAAAAGCTGTTAAAATACAATATTATGAGATTACACATAGCCTCCTGTGAGCATGTAAAGGCAGGTCCCTAAATGAGCTTTTACTTGACTCACACACAAAATACCATGTGTGGGTTTGTGGTTTGTAGAACTGGTGACCTGTATAACATCTGGGGCAAGAACAATATTACCTATGGGTCATAAAGGAATAAAGAAATGAAAAATCATTAGGTCACAAAGAAATTTAAAATAATTACTGAAAATAACCCCTTAAACAAAAACTTTTCTTTAATTTGTTTATCCTTTATAGACTTATTAGGGATGTTATAAAAACTGATTGATTACACCGTATTTCTTATTTCACAATATTTCATACATCTGTAAAACACTAGAAGCAGGAATTGAAGTTTTGTCACTAGGTGTGATAGTAACAGATATTTAAAAATTGTCACATATTCCTGGGTATGGGTATTTGCAAGGGCCTTCTTGGCATGTTAAACATTGTACTGTTTATAAAAAAAAAATAAAATAAAAAAAAAAAGGAATGTATGAAGGCATCATTGCTGAAACCTTGCAGCTTCACTATAAAGAATGTCTATAGGACTCTTGTGCACTCACATAGTTCCTTTCCTCCATGCATCTAGAATGTAGACCTACATAACCGTTTGAGCCACATAGCCTCCTGTACAGAGTGGATGGAGAGAACAGGAAGCATTTGTAGTGCCTCTGCTGAATGTACAAGTCATTTGGAATTTGCAGTCCCTCTGCTCAAAGTAGAAAGACTAAATGCTGCTGTAGAAGAAAATTTACATTGCTAACATTTGTTGGGGACGAATGGAGAGGTAAAGGGCATCCTGCTGTCCATAGGGTGTGCTGACCATTGGTTTGTGCAGGCCATTACCGTATGCTAAGGTACATTTACCTTATGTATAACCACACTCCAATGTAACCACAACCAATCAGGCATGCACTGAGTAATACAAGGACAGTGGTCTAAACATTACCGCGTACAGCCCTGGTGCAGGCATTATTTATGAGCTTCCCTGATAAAATCAGTAATGCGGTCACTGTAACAGGTGGCAGACGGAGACGGCAGAAACAGATTGTTTCATTGCTCAAGCTTGCTCCTAACAAAATCTGTCAGTTTCCAAAAATACTACATTGTACAATTCAGCAAACAGAATAAACTCAAACTGGTGTTTAGACATTAAGTAAATTATAATATTAATTAAACGCCCATCTAACAGAAAGAACAAGCATAATGTTCTCTACTTGTTCATTATCTTTATTATGTAAAATCAGTGACCCAAACCTCTGCAAGCTGGGTTAGCCAAAAACCAGGGTCGTGCAGGAGCAAAAAAAACAGCTGTCCCTTTGTACTGGGCATTATAAGCAATAAGCAAAGAGTTTTCTGAGACAGGACTCGTCCATATAATGGGAGACACATAGAATTGATACAATGTGACAGCAAAATGACCGTTACACAATTCCTCACTCTAGTAAACAATACAAAAACATTCAGAAGGCTGTGAAGAGCAGAGGAGTCAAATATAAACCACACATACCTCTCTGGAACCGAAAGTGCACAGTTATCTCTTGGTAAAGTGCAGTACGAGCACGTACATGCTCAGGCATTGCTCCCATAATGATGTATATATGCATACACCCTCCTGATGCCTGTGCCAGGCACGCCTGGCATTTAAAAAATAATAAATACAACGATTTTAAAATGCTTTTCTTTTTTAAAAGCACAATAAAAGCTAAGTTTGTGTTTGCTATTTGGTTGTGCAAAAATTAGACAGTTTCCCATTAACCGCAATAATTTCCCCATATACATAATATGTATATGGAGAAACTAACTATTAAAAAGGAACATTTAAGAGTGTTTTGTAATTGTTTGCAGAAACGCAACTGGCTGTAAAATGTTTGCATTGAAATAAACTACATAAAATATTCTCTACTAAGAATAGCATGACTGAACCTAGCACTCAAATTATAGCCCATTTGTTTTACTGTTATTGCAGAGGAGTTAGTAATTATACGGATGCTGTGGGCCAATTAAAAATCATGGCTTTAAATTGAGTATTCTCAGAGCTAAAAGGAGATTGCGGAATATTTTGATCTTCCTGTGAATCATCAACTTGTAGGAAAAGTATATTCTTTAATGTATGAGTCGTGCAAATGGCCTTGATTTACTAGTGACGTTATGTATATTATTAACTTAACAATGACTGCAATCGCTTCCAGAAATTAATTTTTTTAAAGATACAATATCAACTCGCAACGCTAAGACTTCTACACGAGAGTATAATCGAGACACACAATGGGTCGCCATTACCATGGTTGATAAAAGGTCGCATAGAGCATAATTACAAGCCATACAATGTACGCTTTAAAAATAATGTAAAATTTTTTAGGTCAAACTTTGTTGCATGTGATAATCATTTCCAAATGACCGGCTTGAATTAGGAGGAGGTTTTAGAAACATTAATTGCTCAATAAGCAAAAGCGGGCACCAACAAAAGTTGTTTTCCCCCAAAAGATTTACTGATGGTAACTATCATTTGCAACTGAAAGAGTTCTTGGTTTGGTGTAAAAACAAACTGGTGTATTTGGCAGTTCATACATGTGACTATCTATACTGCATCTAATTGCGTTGGTCTGGGTACATATTGTCAGGTCCCTTAACCCTGCAAAGGTGATTATTGCAGTTTTTAATATTAGCCACTAGACTGCCACAGCCACTAGAGGGACTTCCAGGTTATTATGCATGAGGACATCCAGTGTCACTTGAAAACCCATCCTATTTGGAAGTACTAATGCGAGCGTGGGAGCAGCGAAGGCAGAACCTGAACCAGCACAGAGGGCCATCGGCGCTGGACTCATGCAAGTGACAGAAGGGATATTTAACCCCTTTTGTACCACAGAGGGGTCTTGACATAGAGGGGCACAAACGTTGTTTTCCTGGCACTATAGATTCCCTTTAAACAGTTCTCCGTCACACTCCTTCTTTGCAAGATTTCTCTCGAATCCTGCTTTGATACACTTAATGTTTTATTTTTGGATGATGGTCACATGTGTTTTCTATTTTCAATCATTTCAAAAACGTAATTATGAAACACAAGCTCCCCCCGACCCCCACCAACCACCTACTAGCAATATAAATTTGAAGTCTAACACACGCCTTTGTAAATGACCATTTTAGTCACCCATTTTTTTTTCAATATATGTTTTCCTTCTTCCAATGCCAAATGAATAGTGAGCAAAAGGAATGTAATGTTTGATTGCACAACTGCAGTGCATTCCAGGATCCAAACGGTTAAATTGCCAGCACGTTAGAATCCTGGCGTTGTTACACAGAATAAGATTTGGCTGAATATTGATAACAATTTATTCTCAGGATCAAACATCTTAGTCAACTTTCCCAGAACTGTTCAGTTAATGATCTCAGTTCTGCAACATCAAACTCTCCAATTCTGGAATTTGATCATTTATCCTCCTGGTTTGTTTTGTTCAAACCAGAAGAAATTGCCAATGGCTCTAAATGAGGTCTGTTCATGGGTCTTGCGATCTTAACTTTGTTTTGAAATAAAAAAGCAGTATTTGGATCAGAATCTGGGCCCTAGAGACAGGTTGAATTTCATACTGGCCTAATATTACAGGCTGTGCTGAATGAAGCTCAGTTTGTCGAGAGTAAGAGATACTAAGTGCAACTCTGCAATGGAAACTCGTGATTGGTTCGGGAATGTTAAGAATGCCCAGGCCGCACTGCCTGTAAAACATAGTATTATAAACTAAAACTGACCTTTTCATTATCACAGTAAGAACAGCGCAACATAGAGGAGTCTGGTACAAGTATGGAAAAAGTACAAAAACATCTGTGCGTGATGGGGAGGCGGCTGCAATTAAACCCATTACCATAAGTGATCCATTTAATGTAAGGATGGCCACAAGATAGTTGACGCCTGGCAAAGCATCATGGGAATTGTAGTTTCCTAACAGCCAAGTATCTAACATTGGGCATTCCCTGATTTATTGCATCAAATATACAGCATAGGTCTTGATGGAGAAGGTTTGCCTATTTTGAATGGGTAACTCACTAGCACAAAAAATGAAAAAAATGCTAAAATGAAGGTACACTAGCATGCTTGGATCCAGACAAGCCATGTAAATTAAAAAAATTAAAAACTGCTGAAAGTTTTTGAGAAACTAGCACAACACATAGATAGAGATGTCGCGAACCGTTCGCGGCGAACTCCGGTCAGCTGACACGTCCCGGCCAATCTCCAGCAGACACTCCCTCCCAGACCCTCCTACTTCCTGGACAGCATCCATGTTTCTGTCCAGGAAGTAGGAGGGTCTGCTGGAGATTGGCCGGGACGTGTCAGCTGGACGGAGTTCGCCGCGAACAGCTCGTGGCGAACCGTTCGCGAGAAGTTCGCAGACGGTTCGCGACATCTCTACACACAGATAACTTTGAGTTAGCTGTCATTTTGTTCATATATACACACTACATGTGACAATTCCTCTTTAATGAGCTACACACATTGCACTTTTAAAGAATTTTTATGATTTTTTTCCATTGCATTACACAAACAGGACATTTAAGAAATGTGAAATATAAGTTCTTAAATCAGGACTGTCACACACAATTTAGGGCAGATGCTTGGTCTCATCAAGATCTAGGTCAGATAGCAAGTATGATAAAAACTGTACTTTATATTAATATATTTATAACTATTCCCCCTTCATTAGATTTAGATGTTAAGTGTTCCTTTAAGAAATGTTCCGTTTATTTTCTGGTACAAACTGTTTTTCCTGTGTACAACAAAGCACTGCCAATATCCATTACATTTGGTTTTAAAACTTCACAGCCCTTGAAAATATCAATACTCATTTTCTTTAAAGAAAAAAATGCAATTATTTTCAACTAAATTAAACTTTAAAAAATAAAAAGTTCTTTGTTGTTAAGTGTTTCTGCCAGTGAGACGTCTGTGTATACAACGAATGTTTAAATAATAGTGTAGAAAATTCTTGATGTCCTGGGGAAGCAGAGTCTAGAATTACCTTAAACCCCTTAATTAAAATAGCTTTTTTTTTCTGCACAGAAAGACAAAACTCACTGCTTTATGCAGCACAAGTCCAGGCACAATGTGATACAATTGTCTCTTTGTCTCTTAGTTCTGTACTTCTCTGGACAAGAAAGAAAAATTATCCAAAAAGCATAGTGCGTGAGCTTCATTAGAGAACTACTCCAAGCACTATCACCACTTCAGTGATTCAAAGAGATCATGGTCCCTGGAGTCTGTATGTGCAGCGTTTCACGTTGAAACACTGCACATGTGGACTTTAACCCCTCTGCTGCCAAAAGTGTAACTTAACCTCTGGCAGTGTCCCTCTCGTGTCAACAGCTAGTCTGGAACTTGCGGAGTTGCATTAGTCGGCGGAGAGCATTCAGTGGACACTTTCAGCCAATGATGGCAACATCTGCAGCATCCATCGCTCTGCAGAAGCCAGAAGCACATCACAGGATCACCAGGGAGTATCAGAGCCTGTGGGGCTCAAGGTAAAGGGGGAAAACTAAACTGTTTATCGAATTACTAGGAAACCGGGCAGGATACTCCTTGCATCATAACCACTAAAGAGGACAGTGGCCTATAGTGGTTATGACGCTTGGAGTAACCCTTTAAATACTACATTTTTTCACCGGCGGTTCAGCCTGGTTATCAAACCTGTATATCCCCTCACATTATTGGTGATGGAAAATATCACTGTAGTCACACTCCAATCCCGTCCTGATTTTATATTTATATTATGTAAAGACATTTCTATGTTGTAGGCATTTTAAACATTAGAAATAAATAGATATAAAAATATATAATAATAATGGTTAATTTTTAACATGTTTATTTAGCACAGTAAACACAAGGAGACATAATGGCTTAATAAGTTGCAAACAAATTCCATTACATTTGTCCTGTACTAAATCCCAAAAATGAGGTTTTCAAAAATGACACTTGGATTATTTGGAAGTCAAAAGAGAGGTTTAAATGAAAATGACATAATGCATATCAAAAAGGTTACACTTTTATACGTGTATCCTCAAGCTCTGCTATGTTATATGAAATAAACTCTACAATATGGCAATTCTTCTCAAATTCTATGTCTGAGTCACTTTTTTTAGTTGGCTTTTGCTCTCCTAAACGTTTGCACCTCTGAGAGCTATGACCTGCCAAATGTTTCCTGTAACACAAGGATCAGAGGCAAGTACAGCTCGAGTACAGAAATATTTTGTAATGGAATGTTCAACGTAAGTACGCACAATGTTTAGTGCACCTAGGGTGTTTGGCACCTGAGTCGTATTTGTGCATTGCCCCGTAGTCCCCCATGACATGCCAAGCACCATGCTTTGTTCAAAAACCCACACACAACTGCTATACTAATGTGCCAATTCTCTGTCTGTCCAAATCCCCACCCATAGTGTGTTCACTGCTATTCTCTGTTTGACTACCCTTTTTTAATTCTGTCCATCCCCATATCTCCCATTCTGTCTGTACAACCCCATTTTCTGTATGTTCACAAAATTGTCTCCTCCTCATTGTTTGCCAACCCCCACATTTTTCAGTCTGTCCTTCCACCATTCTTTGTCTGTTCTTCCTCCAAACATCTCCTTCTCTCTGTCCACATTCCTATGTCTATACACTGATAAGCCACAAAAAAAAACCAACCTGCCTTGTAGGTCTTCCTTTTGCTGCCAAAACTCTGATGCATTAAGGCATAGACTCCACAAAAACGTGTCCTCTGGTATCTGGCATGAAGACATTTCCAGCAGATCATTTATGTCCTGCAAGTTGCAAGGTGAGGCCTCCCTGGATCGGATTTATTTTTCAAGCATAACAATCGGATTGAAATCTTGAATTCTTTGTCATGTTCTTCAAACCATTCCTGGACAATGTTTGCAGTGTGGCATGGCGCATTATCCTACTGAAAGAGGTCCCAGTCATCAGGGAACACCATTGTCATGAAGGGTGTACGTGGTCTGCAACAATCTCTAGGTAGATGGTTTGTGTGAAAGTAATATCCACATTAATACCAGGACCTGAGGTTTACAGCATCACATCTACCTAATGAACGAAACCATTATTTATCAGATCCGGCAACCTTCTTCCATTGCTCCATGGTCCAGTTTAAATACCTCCATTGAAGGAACATTCGGCGGTGAACATCATGGGCACTCTGACCTGTCTGCACTACTCGGCCCCATTTGCTGCAAACTGTTATGCCCCCTGTGTTCTGACACCTTTGTAATGGGGCCAACATTAAGATTTTCAGCAATTAGAGCTACAGTAACTCTCTGTGTGATCGGACCAGACAGGGTAGCCTTCACTCCTCACGGGTATCAATGAGTTTTGGGAGCCAGTTCACCGGTTGTCCTTTCGCTAGGTACAAACTACAGCATACCGGGAACACACCAAAAGACTTGCCATTTTGGACATGCTCTGACCCAGTCTTCTAGCCATCAATATTTGGCGTTTGTCAAAGTCATTCAGATATTTTTTCTTGCCCATTTTTCTTGCTTCCAACACATACAATTCAAGACCTGACTTTTCACTTGCTGCCTAATATATCCCACTTCTTGACAGGTGCCATTGTAATTTTATAATCAATGTTACTCACTTCACCTGTCAGTGGTTCTAATGATAAGTCTGATCAATGAAGGTTTACCCCTCATTCTGTTTATCCATCCCTCCATTTTCAGTTTGTCCACCCCAAACACTCCCATTCTGTCTGTCTACCGCCTATTATTTGTTTGGTAACCTCCAATCTCTGCCTATTCACCTCACTATTTCTGTCTTTTTGCTCCACATTATATCTCTGTCCACTTCCACCTTGTATAACTCTTCCACCCTAATTGCAGCGTGGCTGAGCAGCATTGAGATAAGGAGAATTCATGCACTTCTGCCGAGACTCATAGCATTCAGCACGAGAGGTGTTTGGAAAGAACATGGGATGAGTTCACTTTGACAGACCGGGCAGAGGATATAATATGCTCTACACTGATCCCCCTCCTGCCCCCACCCCCTGTCCCCTGTACGCTACTGCCCTGTCCTGTCTTTCTGTAAGCCAGTTCTTGACCCACTCAGCCAGGGATGTATTCGCTAAATCAAAACATTAACATTTTAGGATAAAATAGTTGGATAAGAATAACTCTCCTAGTCTAGCTATTTTTCCAGTTGTGTTACTTTAGCTTTAAAATTAATTCCCTTCTCAGTTGTGGCGGGTCGCCTGGCACCTTGACTGGGTACCTCCGCCAATCGCGCTTCCTAGTATCACTGAATACTATAAGCACCGCACCAGACACCATACCCACTATAGCCCCCTTAGCCGTCACAGCTTGGCTGGGGTCTCGCATCCCTTCCCACCCTGGACCATCACCCAGATCTAGCTCTCAGTGGGAAGACCTCATCCCCTATATCCCCGATCTGGGGGACCAACATATCCAAAAGGGGTTTGGGATTTCCATGGAAGTCATAATTTGACCAATCGCACACGAGGCTCCTGCCCAAAACAGTTCCAGTGAATCAGGGCTTGCGGTCAGTCTAGTTCGATAGTTTAAAAACCGAACAAATTACAAACATATTCAAGAGTCTTACCCTTTACCTTGTTCGTGGGAACGTTTCCACCGAACAGTGCCCTTCTAAGTTGTGTAGAACGGAATGCAGGTGATCCTGGAAGACAACGGTGTTCAGGAGTTTCAATGTCCGAAAACAGTTCCATGAACTCGACGACCAAACACCGCTACCTGCGTTCGCAGGAACAAGATGGCCACCACCTCGTAGTCATTCTTGTGAATAGCGGTCACCCAGACAAACACTTAGAACACTGTGGTGGAAAGTGCTACAAACTGTCTATTAGGCTTAACAAGCTCCCAAGTGGTCTCTGGTTAGTGCGCCTGTTCGGTTCCCGAACCAAATATAAAATACCACGAACCAAGTCTGTTCACATATTTTTTTAAAGGGCCCATAGTCTTTTGGCAGGAGGCTGGCAAGCAGGCCCCTCCAAGAACCTGTGACGAGACTACTCGCCACATCAGTTCTCCACGATTATCCCATTTATCAATAACTCCCTAGGTGTGGCATTCTCCAAAACCTTTAGGCCATAGATATTAACATGAATCCCAGTGGATGGAATTATACAGGCACTGTAAATAGCATGTTGTCAAGAGCAAAATAATCCATATGCTATGGAAGCAAAATGAACAAAACGTTTTGTAGACAGCCACCTGATACATTTCTGTCACTTTAAGAATCTTGTTTATTATTATAGGAAAGGTCTCAATAACTGAATTATGAAAACATTGAACATAATATTCGCTACCAGAACTATCTTTTCTAATATTATAAAGAGGGGTAGACATACAATAACTGTTCTATAATAAAGCGCCTATTGAACATACTTGGATGTTAAAAGCAATTAGTTTACTTAGGATAGGTTTAGAATGGCAACATCTAATTCTAATGTATTGGTACTTTATAAAAATATCCAGTAACCTGGATTCGTAAATGTCAGAAATGATAAATACACGCAAAGAACTCACACTCCTTCAAACTGCAACAATGTGAGTTCTATCTGTGGATTGTGCCTCTACAAAGAAAAAGGTCTTAATATTCATGAAAACTCGGACACAAAATCTCTGACTAGCATTGAGTGGTGAAATAGTTTGCATGTTACTTGCTTACAGTAGAGGATGGGCGAGGGAATGGTGTGTCATTCACTGTGCTGAGATAATGTCTCATGTCTCATGTAGCGTCCAGCAGAAGGTGCAATAGAAAGACTGACTCGTACCAATAAAAATTCACCATGGTGTGATTAAAAAATAAGCTTTGTGGATCTTGGCTTCATTTGAATCTGACTTTTTTTTTTTTAACACTAAAGTAAACTTGCCCCCTTTAACTTTTTCATTACTGCTAAGAAATAAAAGTGTGAAACTAGGACTGGCAAGGGTGTAGGATTACATCAGTACATATGGGTTTTCTCTCAGTGTGGTATTTTAGAAAATAGCTTGTGACAGGGTAACATTTAACCTTTATATACCAAGCAAGAATAGCCGTTCATTAACTCAATTTACAAGGCTGGCTTACAAGGGGTGCTTGGCAAAGGATTACATGCAATCCACTTCCTCGGCTGGAACATTCTATTTACAGAAGACATTCAAGAGAAAGTAGGAGGAAAGTGTCTGATTAAAGAAAGCTTAAGGGTTTACGCCTTAAACAAAAAAAACAAAAAAAAAAAACTCCTGATTTTGCTAATTTAGACCAACATAGCATACCTCCCACGTTTCTCTATTTTGGGCCAAAATCTCTCTTGTATCCTAAATTCACTCTTTTCTAAGTGCTCCATATGGTTGGTCTGGGTGTATAACAGAGCTCCACAGCAATAATACTCCCAGTAATGTGTCTGTGTGTATAACAAAGCTCCACAGCAATAATACTCCCAATAATGTGTCTGTGTGTATAACAAAGCTCCACCAATAATACTCCCAGTAATGTGTCTGAGTGTATAACAGAGCTCCACAGCAATAATACTCCCAGTAATGTGTCTGAGTGTATAACAGAGCTCCACAGCAATAATACTCCCAGTAATGTGTCTGAGTGTATAACAGAGCTCCACAGCAATAATACTCCCAGTAATGTGTCTGAGTGTATAACAGAGCTCCACAGCAATAATACTCCCAGTAATGTGTCTGAGTGTATAACAGAGCTCCACAGCAATAATACTCCCAGTAATGTGTCTGTGTGTATAACAAAGCTCCACAGCAATAATACTCCCAATAATGTGTCTGAGTGTATAACAGAGCTCCACAGCAATAATACTCCCAGTAATGTGTCTGAGTGTATAACAGAACTCCACAGCAATAATACTCCCAGTAATGTGTCTGAGCGTATAACAAAGCTCCACAGCAATAATACTCCCAGTAATGTGTCTGTGTGTATAACAAAGCTCCACAGCAATAATACTCCCAGTAATGTGTCTGAGTGTATTACAGAGCTCCACAGCAATAATACTCCCAGTAATGTGTCTTTAAACTACAATAAATGTGTTTAGAAATCAGTCTGTGTAAATAAGATATATTGTTCTTGCTCTAAATTACAGTTTAATTGCATACATTATTAGTAGATCACTTAAAATTTCTCAGAACAACTCCAGGCTGGCCACAACCAAAGACACAACCCTAAAATTAAAGTAATCCATTTGAAATGTTAAGAGGTATCAAATAGCAAAATAGCAGAAATTCATTAACTCAGTTAGGCTGTTATGGTCTAAAATTCACGATTTCCTTGCCAGATCCTGCTTTAGTAACTAAAGCCGCTGTCACTCACAATGGCTGATGAGAAAAGGAATCTTTCTCAAGTGATGCCTATAACGTCTCCTTGTGCACGCACGAGAGATTCAATGTGGATCACATGGTAACATATCTTCCATTTACCCCCCAACCCCCCTTTTGTACTCACATACGTTCAAGAATATATTGATTAGAAAGCAATTCCCAACTTTATCTGCCAGAAGTTAAAGGAACATAAAAAGGCAGAAGTACATATTAAAACATCCCCCTTTTTCTCCTAAAGTGGCCACCACCTGGGAAAGAGCTTTGCAAAAATGGAGTCTGGTTGAAGGATGCATTAAGAGGAGTAACAAACTAAATTAAAGCTGGAATTGTCCAATTTTAAGTTTTGAATGTATTACATTTCTTCTGTTCTACGAGTTATAACTTACTAAAAAAATAAAAGTTACAGAAATGTGTTTTTTTTTTTACGCAGAACCAAGCCAACTGGCCCATCTACTTTGCTAATATTCTCACTTAAAACAAAGGTTTGAATTGTTGCTCAGCACTGCAGTGGGGCTATCCCAAACTTTCTCAAACTCTTCCAATTTATGGCTATTTCATGAATTAACAACACATTTTTTGATTTTTTATATATATTCCTTATTTAAAATGTCATCGAGATGTATTTGTCAGCTGTAGCCGCTACATTTGTTCTTATCCAACGGAACACGTTAGGAATGTGACATTTGAAAGGTATTCAGAAGTATATCTTAACCAATAGTTGGGGGTAACATCTTAAGACTATGCCCAGGAAGCGCTATCAATAACTGTGCAGAGGGAAATTAATTAAATGAGCTGTGAAGCCGATAAGAAATGATTGTTTAATATGCCAGAAGAAGTCCATATCTTTAAAAACCCATTCCTGTTAAAAAATAACACACAAAATAAAGAAGAAAAAAGGGAAAAAGTTTAAATAGATTTTTATCACGTGTGACCTTTTCAAATAAATGTATTGGGAATCTGCTTGGAAATGAACATGAGAAGAGGTTTTTGTGAAAGGCAGTACACAGCATTTTAATGAGGCTCTTGTAGCGTAAAATCTCTGATGATACACTCTTCGTGAGTCTGGATTGCGTTCCTGCAGAGAGGATTTTTACTAAAGTAATTGCCCGCCTGTGGCACAAGCAAAGGGGTGTGGGGGAGCAAACTATGCATGATTTGTGAAACATCTAAAATGTTTCTGCCAATGGAAGTCACAAAACAATGTTCATCTTCATGTTTATTTAAGTAGATTAAGGTTTTTCAACTTTGAATCTCTAAATTTGTCAAAAAAGTAAATAAAAAATATGGGTCTGGATCATATAACCAATATTTCCTATCGATCAGACCCCAGACTGTCTAATGTGGCTTAAAGGGACACTATAGTCACCTGAACAACTTTAGCTTAATGAAGCAGTTTTGGTGTAGAACATGACCCTGCAGCCTCACTGCTCAATCCTCTGCCATTTAGGAGTTAAATCCCTTTGTTTATGAACCCTAGTCACACCTCCCTGCATGTGACTTGCACAGCCTTCCATAAACACTTCCTGTAAAGAGAGCCCTATTTAGGCTTTCTTTATTGCAAGTTCTGTTTAATTAAGATTTTCTTATCCCCTGCTATGTTAATAGCTTGCTTGACCCTGCAAGAGCCTCCTGTATGGGAGTAAAGTTAAATTTAGAGATTGAGATACAATTATTTAAGGTAAATTACATCTGTTTGAAAGTGAAACCAGTTTTTTTTTCATGCAGGCTCTGTCAATCATAGCCAGGGGAGGTGTGGCTAGGGCTGCATAAACAAAAACAAAGTGATTTAACTCCTAAATGACAGTGAATTGAACAGTGAAATTGCAGGGGAATCATCTGTACCAGGGGTAGGCAACCTACGGCACTAGAGCCACGCACGGCACTCAAGGCTGCTAGAGCCAAACAGGCTCTGTCCTATTAGGAGTCCAAGAAAAACTCCAGGTATCTGCTAATACGAAGAGGTGGTGAAGGACAATCCTCAATTTATGCATTGCAGCACGTAGAGGAAGGTATCTCAGATCACTTCCTCCCAGCACTTGTGAATGGGAATCCACACTGTAGCAGAGCAGCTCCACTGGAACCCAGGGAAGCCACCCACACTGCTAGATATACACCAAAATGCAGAATAACCCTCCCATCATACAAATAATACGAACAGCCCACACACAATCCCCACAAACGCAACACCACTAACAATCCACATACATGAACACAACCCCAAATGCAGCCTCTCACATGCAATACCCCAAACAGCCCCCACACACTACCAAACACACAATGTGACATATCCATCCACACACACAAGTCCACAAGCAGCCCTCATACACAGCCCACATTCATATATCATACACAATACCACAAACTAATAATGAACATATACAATATAATAGCTCATATATGCACAAATACAACGATACAAAGCAATTACAGTAAAAATAACAAGCAGAATACGGCAGCACACACACCTCAATTTAAAAAAATAGGATCGGCACGCTACGGGACATCACAATCCTATATCGGCACAGTGCTGCTAAAAGGTTGCCTACCCCTGATCTATACACTAAAACTGCTTTATTTAGCTAAAGTAATTTAGGAGACTATAGTGTTCCTTTAATCCGATATAAACACAAAATATGGACATCATTTTCTCAACTTTGCTGTTCCCCCTGCGGTCTGCATTCCGTGTCATTTTACTCTGAAGAAATTACAGTATTACAATTCAATACAGTTACAGTACTGATGCTTTACTTCGCTATTTGTGACTGAATCTGTTTTATTTTTCTAGTGTAAGATACAAGTACAGATAACAATATACATGCCACAAACTATTACGCAAGAAAGCAATGTGTAATTCGTGAGATTTCAAACCAATTCAGACATGGTCTTGATCAATTTGCCATAATTTACTTGCAATAAATACTTATTCCTCTAACTGAACGTCTGTGACATAAAAAACATGATTAATGAAGAGTGAAATCCCCCATCGCTATGTGAACTATACGGGAGAGAAAATGACTAATTTACCCAGCACGGTCGTAGTGTGGCATCTGGAGGTGAAATCTCACAGTTTGGTGCTGAACAAGCCGGTGATTTGAAAATCTAGCAGTCATGCTCTAATGGTTTCTTGTGCATTCCACTACATAGATTACATGTAGTTTTATATATAGATATAGACATAGAACTCTAAATTACATCAGGCAGTAATGAAAACACAACTGAATAAAATACTAAAAATCTGCCTATAATTTAAGCTTTTTTCATACTATACTCAGTTTTTTTTTTTGTTTTTTTTTTTATGTATAATAAAACTTTAGGAATTGACGTCACAATCCATTCCAGTCCAAACAGAGCCAGGTCACACATTGTATTAGAGAAGGAGAAACGGAAACATTGGGGGAGAGCTATCAATGTGTCCTGGTATAAAAAGTAATCTAAAACATTAAAAGTGAGACAATTACCGTGCCATTGGAACCAACTGACATATTCCATTGGTGATTGCTTAAAGGGACACTTTGGAGACCAATAATACTTTAATGCATTTGATTGTTTTTGGCCTCATTAATAAGCTGAATTTTTTTTGCATGCTCAAATCTTTATAGTTTTTGCATAAAAGAAATGTTTTGCACAATGCTGCACTATAAGCCTGCCTCTTTAGCCACACCCTCTCACTCCAGAAAATACTTTCTTATCCAAAGTATGTACACAGCTAGCTCAGTTTTAACCCCTTCAGCCCAGTGGGAGGGGGGCAGAACCTAATGACCCTATAGTGCCAGGAAAACAACTTTGCTCTCCTGGCACTATAATGCTCCTTTAAAGGTTCACTATGGGCACCCAGACCACTTCAGCTTAATGAAGTGGTCTGGGTGCCAGGTCCAGCTAGGGTTAACCCCTTTTCTTATAAACATAGCAGTTTCAGAGAAACTGCTATGTTGAGATTAGGGTTTCTCACTGTGAAAATCATTGAGGATGCTTTCGTATGGACTGGCTGAATACGCGCGCGGCTCATGCCGCGCATCAGCATTCAGCCAAAGAGGGAAGAGAGCTCCCCGCCCGGTGCTGGAAAAAGAGGTAAGTTTAACCCCTTCCTTTCCATCCAGCCCGGCGGGAGGGGGACCCTGAGAGTGGGGGCACCCTCAGGGCACTATAGTGCTCCTTTAACTATTTTGTTTTATTCCCATTTTCTTCTATAAATAATGAGGCAACAGAAGATATGTAAGTTTGCAGGAAAATTGTTAGAAAGTATTAAATAATGCAGATTTTCTCCTCCTGTGTAACAACCTTCATTTTCCATGATAAAGCAAAGCTTAAAAGATTGGACAGCCAATTATAGAAAGACTTTTTGCTTCCTAATCCTCTGAAACAAGCTAAAATACTCTAAACTTTAATCCGAGTGCGCTGATTTTCACTGCTTATAATTATTCCATTCATTGCTGTGCACAAAGCATTCACGTTTTTTTTCCCCCAGTAGAATCACAGTAAAAAAAAAAAAAAAAAAGGGATATATAGTTATTTTAGTTTTGTTTATTAACTAAAGTGAAACTTTAAGGCCGGAGTAGCCAAACTGGAAGCATAGTTGACAGAGATAATGTTTCAAGTTCGGCTACTTTGACCTTAAATGTTAAATTCACCTTGTATTCTCACTCTGTTGAATAACCCTGTAAATATATAACTTTGTATATACACACACACACACACACGCAATTTTTTGTGTCATCGAAGCACATGCTTTCAATTAAAGGGACACTATAGGCACCCAGCCACCGCAGCTCATTGAAGTGGTCTGAGTGCAATGTTCCAGGTCCTTTAACCTTGCAATTGTAATTATTGCAGGTTTTAATAAACCCTTTGAGGGTTCACTCCACCACTAGAGGGAGTTCTGGGTCATTAGGCGACTTTTGGTCGCCTGACACTGATAGTCCTCACGCTATGCACAGCGACGTCCAGCGTCACTCAAAACACCATAGGAAAGCATTTTAAATGCTTTCCTATAAATGACGTCGGCAGGGGAGGAGCAGAGGTGGGGCCTGAACCAGCGCTGAGAGAAAACGGCACTGGAATCAGGTAAGTGACAAAATGGGTTTTTAACCCCTTAATCCTGCAATGACAGACATTGCAGTTTTTGAGAAACTGAAATGTTTACATTGCAGTACCAAGACAGCCTCTAGTGGCTGTCTACCGGACTCCAGATCGCGTAAGTAACACTGGATATCCTCACGCTCTGCATGAGGATATCCAGCGTTAGTGAAAACCCCATAGGAAAGCACTGAAGCAAAGCTTACCTAATGCGCTCACAGCGCCAACCACTCTCTTGTTGGTGGGCTATCCATGGGTGCTGCAGGAATAATTCCAAAATAGAGCAACGGGAATAACCTTTAGATAACCCAGTGTTCTATCTCATTGCTTTTCAGTTATGTCTTAAAATAAGAGTTGTATTGCCGGGAAGCTCTATGATAGACAAAACATTTGATTCCAAAAAATAACTAACAATATTTTTTCATCTTGGAAGAAACTTAAAATATATCTAACAATGCAAGCAGACCAATCTGCCAGAAAGGTTACATGCCAAGGTAGGTTGTTGTGCAGTAGATCAGTGGAGTCAAACAAAAACTACATTCTCCCTATAGAGTATGGCAAGGCACACACAGTGTACGCCCATCCAATGCACTGGTCTTTTCTCCCAGCATGGACTGCTGCTAAAGTGCTTTTCACATGCATGTCAAACGTCAAGGAATGAAGCCTAAAATAGAGCCTGTTAAAACCATCTGTGCCATTCTTCGCACACGTAATGTGATTAACGAGAAATCAGCATGCGATTATATGTCACTTATATACGTGAATGTCATGTATGTCATATTTCATGATCTTTCCCTTATTTCGACTGGCAAATCATGTCTTCCAATCCTTATACCATGTTGGGCGATGACACACTGTGATAATAGAAAATGTAATTCACACCAAGACGGATACTGCAGGACCTCTAGTACTGCCACATTAAAGCCTGCCTCAGATTTGTGGGCGTTATGCTTTCAGGCAGCAGCTGCTATGACAGTGGTGAGCACCGGAAAGTGACATGCCACAAGAGCTGAAAGGGGCGCACCAACCAATCTCGGACAGACTGTGATTTATATGTCCTGAGATTAAATAAACCCTAGCTGTGATTAAAAGACTACATTTTTATTTTATTTTTTTAAAGCATGTGTAAATATATATATTTTCCCATAGTTTGTGCATTGATAATGGTGCTGCTATGTGTGCAGTATGACGGTGCATGCCAACTATGGTTCTATAGAAAGAATGCTAAAGTGTGCATGCATGATTACATGACTTTACAAATACATTGCTGAGTGTGCATTACCATGCCCAGAGCATCATGGAGAGATGAAATGACTCACTGGCAGTGAAAGTGTTGGGTGTTTTTTTTTTTTTTTGTTCTTAAATCTCTTACATTCCTCACTTTATGGAACACTCCAAGCACCATAACAACTACAGTGTGCTGTGGTGGCTATGTTGTCAGGAGTGGGCTGGCACTGGCCATAGTAAAAGAGGAGAGGCAGAGAGCAGCACACGGTGGACCCCAGGTAAGAAGTCAAACCATTAGCAAACACTTTGACTACTTACATTGAGGGATCTCCTGCAGTGGTTATGGTGTGTTGAGTATTCCCTTCCTTTCTTTAGTTACTGAGGTTAAGCAGTGAGGAAAGGTCATTACCAACAGTTCTTCTTTTCATGAAAGTTTATCAGTGAATCTGGTTCGTTATGTAAATAAATGCAAGGAAACCAGAAACAAAGTGATTTGCAGACGAATACAAACCTAAACAGAAAAACACGGAATAATCACGAGCGGCAAATAACAAATGACACTGTCATACATATCAAACAGTCTATGGCCATAAAACGCAGCATCGTGTGGACCAGAGGTGTAAAACATGGACTGATACAACTATTTTTGTCGGTCGTTTACTTATTGTTATATAACTGCCTGTGTAACTATAATACACTGCGGGAAATGTTAGAGCTATATAAATAATAATTATTAATAACGGTTATTGATATAAGCTCTTACACCAGACTCAAGGTGATTGGCTGCAGTAGCAAAAGGTATTTTTACATTTCCAACAGTTACGCCTATTTGTCAGACCCATGACTAGAGGCTGTAATAACAAAAAACAAAAAGAAATCAAAGTAAATTCAGAATTTATGAAAAATTGTAAATCAGCAATGCGTCCAATTTTGCCTATTTTGGTCATAAATGTGAAATTCACTTTAAATTCTCACATTAGTAAATAACCCTGTACAGGTTGGTATGGCCCTGGCTAGGATGAGTGATTTCACGATGAGGAGCACATGAATTCTACATAAACTGTAGGGCATCACTTTCACACCCTGTTTAACAGAATGCAGAATTCATATGCCTCCAGCAAAAAAAACATTGTTTTCTAAAAAACATGTTTTTTTTTTGTTTCAGTGAAACCAGTTTGATTTTAGATATTAAACGTTCTTACTGTATTTGTTTTCTTTGAGATAACAGAGTAGTTAATTAACGAACGGTGACATTACAAATCTAATAACTAACTACCGCTAGAAACAAAGTCATTCCTGAGATCAATACGAGATAAGGAAGAAATATTGTTGCCAACCTAAAGATGGCAGTAAATGGCAATCTCTGTGCCACATGCAAGGCTGTTACATAGCATTTTATGTCCCTACATGAATTTGTCCTTTACGATGTGCTGAAAATGGAAAATCCTTAAATAAGAAATTATGTTTACATGTCAGTAAACAGTGAGTATGCTCTAAGGAAAAAGAAAAGTCTATCTTGCCGGTTTGTTCATATTTGTGACAGCAAGATTGTTACAAAATGTGAGTAATAAGGCTTAAAGTTCGTTATCCTTTTAACTGCCGTATAAAATGAATTAACCGCTTCTTTTTTGTTTAACCCCTTAAGGACACATGACATGTGTGACATGTCATGATTCCCTTTTATTCCAGAAGTTTGGTCCCTAAGGGGTTAAATCTAACTAACCCGTTTAGTGCAGCAGATGAATTTAATAAAGTGATTAATCAAATCCGGTTGATCTGGGGTGAACAGTTTTGGTGAAACTACAAATCACTAGGAAGGTGTCAGTATCTGCGCTGTGACAGCTATCACTAATGTATCAATTAACCCTTACCACTTGTGCCACTTTACCCCACTAGAATGTAAGCTTGTTTGTGCAGAACCCTCTACAAGACCTTTGTTCTTGTACATCCAACTCGCCTGGTTACAAATACTTGCCTGTTAGTCCTCCCATTGTACAGCGCTACGGAATTCGTTGGTGCTTTATAAATAATAATAACTAATAAAATCACTACATTGATACAACTGTGCAGCCTTGGTATCTTGCAATTATAACCTCCGAACCAGTACTAGCACAATATTTAGCATACCGCAATACAAAAATAAAGTGGCTCGATCCTTCTTTTCCTACAGAGCACCGCAATTATGGAATAACCTCAGCACAAAATGCACCTGTCATGGTGAATATATTTTATTACCTGTTATGTATTCAATTTATATATGTGTGTATAATATATATATATGCTTATATTAGTTGCACTCAAGTGGATTCATTTTGCTAAATTTATTTTTATAGGCCCAATGAATCCTGCAGCTCTTCATTCATTCATAAAATAATAATAATAATAATAATAATAATAATAATAATAATAATATATATATATATATATACACACACACATACATACACACACTTTAAATGGATAGAAAAGGAGTGAAAACTTAAAAGTTTATTCAGCAAAGAGGGATCTGTGTAGAACTGATAAATTGCAAATTTTAGGAAAAATCAAGCGCACTGGGAAAATAGCTTTTGGGGAATTTTTCCAATCTGCCCCTTTTTTTATTCAATTTGCAATTCCATTTTTAAACTATCCACATATCCCTTTTCAGTGAATAACTAGCAGCAGGCTCATACTGTATTCCCCTTGGGGCACTCAATGTCTTTACGGTTGTGTCTAACATTACTGCACTGAGTACAGCAATCATAAAATGCAACTAAACAGCTTCCTTATCACATTTTACAAAAACCCTCTAATTTTGCTTCCTTTAAATTGTACACTGACTGAGCACACTGCGGTATTAATGTATATCATTACTCTGCATGCCATGCTTTTTGTTAGGTTATCAAGTTTCAGAAAGTCTTATTTATAAAATCAAAAATACTACGTATACACAAACGGTACTTTTAATAAAATTGTGCATGTTTCTAGCACACCCCCCCCACCCCCCCCTGTCCCCACCCCACTAAACTGGAATTGGAGACCAATTTAATCGTAAAAATGGTACAATTCATCTTTTTTTCCCAGTTTGACTATTTTGAACTAAAACTTTCATTTCTCCACATGTTGCATTAAGCTCCTTAGTACGGAAATCTGATTGTCATTCTTGACTGGTCATTATATATAAAAAAAATGTAGACCGAGGTGAGAAAAGGTGGACCATTCTTTCATTCCCCCAGCTGCCTGTTTCTCAGCTCTTACCCCGGTATAGGGGGAGCTTGTATAATTTTAATATGAGCTGGCCTTGCAGCTGTTCAGACAAACCATGCGTTAAAGAACTCTGAGGAAGGGGATGTTGCATTGCTGTAACTAAAGGCTTTATTTACTAAAATCTGGATTGAAATACGATTTGCAAAATCGAGCTTAGAAATGGTTTTTGGAGGATTCCACTGCAGACACTGCTTGGCTACTATGACTTCAGTTTTACAATTTGCACTACAGAATTGGCGTTTAGTGAAGCACCTAGGAAAATATCTATAGATGGAATTCTAACACAATTAACCTAATTTATACATACATACACACACATATATATATATATATATATATATATATATTATCACAGTGCAAACGTGAATCGTGTAACTGTGAGCAAGGCAGTGATTTTGAACAAATTGCATAATAAAGAAATTCTATTGTGAATGCCGGTTTAATTAAAATGCATCAATATTCCCAATCTGAATCCTAAACTAATGACGAAAATCATGATGTTTTACATTTGTAACGTTACAGCATCCTTACGAAAGGCAGTTTTATTAGGCTCAGAGATTCCTGCTCTGACCTCATTTTCCCACCAATGGAAAAGTCATGTTATCATCACAGCAATTAACCTTTAAGCTAGATAGGCGACACTATCAAAAATAAATGTGGGACTTACTGGTTGATTTGAAAATACCCTAGTGAACTCTGTATTGATTGATGGATGACTCAAACACTCATCTCCTCTTTCAATAGAGCTGGCCCATAAATAGACAGCGGGTGATAAAGAACACTTAGCTATGTGTATGTATTTTTTTTTTTACATTTATTAGTGTCATTAATAGAGCAACTACATATCCGTAGTGCTGGACAATTTGTGGTAAAAAAAATATCAGCATGTGAAATTTGTATTGCCTGGCGCCCAGGACATGTAGTTCCGGAGGTAGACAGGCAGTTTGTTTTGGTGTTTAGCGGCAGGGAGGACAGTATTTGGGGCACGGCGTATGACCGCTATACAGTCAGTACTTGCAGACAACGGTAAAGGCTGGATCAGTGGTTCCGGCACGCTCTAGAGAGCAGCCACTGAGAGCCAAAAAGCTCTGTCTAGGGAGGATCCCAACATAGACATTTGTGTAGTACTCTTGTCCATGCGCAAAAGTACAGCAAGAGCTTGCAGAAGAAAATGGAGGTGGCCAGGGAAAACTCTCCTTTCCCTGCACCCTGTGGCCACCTCACTGCAAGTGGCAAAGTTACCATCTGGGATCATCAAAACATGCAAAGACCACAGACCGTGACAGGGCCGGTTTAAACATGAGGGCAAAGAGTTTTCTGCTACACTTTGCCACTGTTTGCCATAACACCATAATTTTTATTTTGATGCAATAACCGGAGATTTTCAAAGCGAGTTTCCAGCTGCTGGTAATTTGTTTATAGTAAAATCAGATGCATTTGTTTGTTCTACCATAGTTTAACCCCTCAAGGACCAAACTTCTGGAATAAAAGGGAATCAGGACATGTCACACATGTCATGTGTCCTTAAGGGGTTAAACACAGCAGGAATCATCGCCAATTTACGTTGGGCTGCATATAGGTACAACAATAGGGCAGCATTTAAAATGTATGATCCTGAAATTAAAAAAAAATTATCTGCAAAACTCAGGCTAAAACAGCCGAGTTGTGACTAGTAGCCAAGTTAGAGAAATTTTCCATACAAGTCATTTCAGCCTTGATTGAGCCATTTGGTTTTCAGTTCATTATAATCCTGTGGTTTTATTTTTTTTACAAATTTAAAACAAACTCCATTAAATGGTTAACAGATTTTAACTTCTCCAACTCGAGCTTCGTAACCAAGACGGTGAAACATCGGTGATACATCTTGGCACTGCGTGGTAAAACATAATGGAAAAATCTGAGCTGCTCTGGTGAGCGATACCTGCCTAGAGCCATCAGATTAGGGTAACACTAGACAGCCAATTTCTAACAAGGCACTATTTAGTGAATATATCCCTAATTTTTGTGTTTTTCTTTATATTTCTTAAAATTGAGTGAAAGTTGCCTTGCTTAACACTTTGTCGTACATCTAACCCATGAATGACTCACTTGAATAATATATTAATAAATAATAAATTCTAAATTAAAAAAAAAAAAAATGTAATTAAAGCATGTAGGTTTATTATTATATATATATATATATATATATATATATATATTTTTTTTTTTTTTTAAACAATATACTCTCATCGTTAATTACTTCCCATCAGCCTTAGCTCTAAAGCTGCCAAAAACATGCTTTCCTCCCAGCTATGGAATTTAACATGGTGATCTAATCATGCAAATCTTGCAACAAGCTGTTAAAATGGCTGCTCCCGTTGGCACCCAGACAGAGTTAAACAGGAGTCATTTTAATCTGTGTACGCTACAGAACTGTAAAGAGCAGGATTTGGAAAATTGGAGAGTTCTATTAAAAAATAACGATAAGTAAAATTTGCATTTTATAAAACAAAAAAATAGAGGGGAACGTCTGCAAACCCCTAAAGTACTGGAGTGTTCCTTTAAAGCTCTGCTAGGTATTCCAAATACTTCATATGATTTCAACAAATTACTTCTTGCTTTTTGATGATGGTCGCCAAGAGTAAACTGCTGTAGTATTCATATTCTCCAGGATAGATATCAGTTACCCAATGTTCCTGATTAACAAACGGATTTCATCACTCAGCATTTGATGACTAACTATTGAAGGGGGGCAATTTTTAGGTGTTACAAGTGAGATAACTCCCAATAAACCCTAGACCATGGGTTGCCAACCTGGTCCCTACCGCCCACTAGTGGGCGTTTCAAGATTCCAGGTGGGCGGTAGGGATTTCCTCATTTTTAGAGATTGGGCAGGCGTGCGGGTGCGAGCCAGCGGTACCCGTGCGACTGGGTACCGCCATCACCATTTGCGACCCCGGCCGACGTCCAAGGGGGCCATCGGGTGGCCCATGCTGTCAGGGCCACCCGATGGATGTGGATTGTAAGGGGGCCCGGTCAGCGCTGGATGCTTTAACAGCGCGACTGGGCCCCCTGTGATTACATCACAGAGCTGGGAGGAAGTGACTGCACATCACTCCTCCCAGCTAACACACAGACCACGCGGGAGGAAGACTAGGGAGTCAGAGTAGGAACTCTGACTCCCTTCCACCTGAGCCACCACTGGTCCCCAGGGAATGTCACCCTCCTGCACCTAAAAGGTAGGAAACAGGAGGGTGACTAAAATATTTTGTGTGTGTATGTGTCTTTGTATGTATGTCTTGTGTGTGTGTCTTTGTATGTACGTGTGTGTGTCATGTGTGTGTGGCTGAGTCTTTGTATGTATGTGTGTGTGTCTTATGTATGTGTCTTTGTATGTATGTCTTGTGTGTCTGTCTGTATATATATATGTGTGTGTGTGTCTTATGTATGTGTGTCTTGTCTGTATGTATATATATATATATATATATATGTGTGTGTGTATGTGTGTGTGTGTGTGTCTTTGTATGTGTGTGTGTCTTGTCTGTCTGTATGTCTTATGTGTGTGTGTGTGTGTGTGTGTCTTTGTATGTGTGTGTCTGTTTGTATGTGTGCCTGTCTGTTTGTATGAATGTGTCTTGTGTGTGTGTGTGTGTGTGTGTGTGTGTGTGTGTGTATGTATGTGTGCCTGTATGTATGTATGTATGTATGTATGTGTGCCTGTCTGTTTGTATGTATGTGTCTTTGTATGTGTATATGTGTGTCTTGTGTGGGTGTCTGTATGTATGTATGCATGTATGTATGTGTGCCTGTCTGTTATAGTGGGCTATAGTAAGTAATAGTAAGTGGGCTACCTAGCTCAGCCTTCCTACTGGGCATTGCTATAAGTAAGGTTAAAAAATAGAAAAAAGGAAAAAAAAGGTTGACAGGGGAATTGAGGAGGGAGAGGAGGGGAGCTGACGCACAGATGAGAAATCATATTATGCGCAAACAGAGAAGTGGTCTGAATATCACCGAAAAAGGAGACTTTCGTTTGTTCCTTACGAAAATCGAACCAGATATCAAATATTTAGTCTCGCAGCATCAACCTCAAGGATCTCATTAGTCACTAGTAAAGGTAATTTCAATTTACTTTATTGTTCTCTCATTAAACTTTATAAAGTTAAAAACATTATAAACATGCATTAAGTAGAAATAAAAAAGATAAATGTAGGTACATTTATTTATTTTTTTAAAACACCCTTCTTTCTAAAAAATATTCTGCATATAACACCAGGCAGCAAATACATTACACATACGTCTAGAAAGCACTTTTTGAAAGATCTCCAATGATTCAAGAGCCCCCTAAACACAGTGAAATTGAAAACCTAGGTGAAAACTATTGGTGTACACAAAAACAGGGCTATTTACAAAATTGAGAAGCGTCGAGAGCTGTGTATATTGTATTGTCTTTTGCCCCTGTTGAACAGTGCTACAGAATACGTAAGCACTTTATAAATGCCAGTAATAGCAACACAGCGAGTTTCAACTAACCCCAACACAGACAGAGCGACCTCTGCAGGGTTTATTTACTTAACTATGAATCACAGATTTGAGGCTAAAATAGTTCATCTGTGACTATATCGCAGTTGGAGAAATTCTCAAAACAAGCTTTGGTTTCCTAAAATTTGGCATTTCAGCCTTCTACAATTTGGAACTTAGTAAATAAATCTGTTTAAAGGGGAACCAGTCACTTCTCTGGAAATTACACAATTCAATAATCACTGAAAATCACGTATAACTTCTATGAACCTGATTTTCATTTTGTTTCAAATGTGTATTAGAGATTTAGTGACATTACAATCCAGTTTAGAACAAGCACAGTGAGGGTGAGAAAAAAAATGAAATATTAGGGAAAGTGTTTATCATCATTTGATAAATCTAAAAAAAAAAAAAAAGCGGCTAATTTTTCTAATTATTTTGATCATATTTATTAAAGTGCTCTAAGAGTGATTTAAAATAAGTTTTTTGTTTTCAAATTTTCCAGTGTCAGAAAAAAAAACATAAAAGTGAAACATGCTGTAAATGTAAAGAAATGTCAGAAAGACTGCGAAACGAGTTTTCGCAAAAAAAACAAAACAAACAAAAAAAAAACCCACATATTCTAAAAAATGATGGCTGGTCCGTGAAAGAAACAAGTATAGGTAAATTTTTCTGTTTCTCTTGCCCCATCTATAATCACTGACAGATGCAAAAGGCGGAGCATAAGGCATTCAAGATGGAGGTACTCAGTTCCAAGAGAGAGAGTGTTATGGTATTTTACATTTAACATCCAAAATACTCTGCAGCGGTGTATAAATAACCTTGGTTATTATACAGCTGTCTGGGGGCATCAAACCGAGTAGGGTTTTCTACTTTAAAACACATGCATAGGAGGATACAAAGGACACGAAACAAGTTTTTTCTGTTTTTAGCTGGGTTTATACGTGGTCACACTGCGGCTTCAAATAATTTTCTCTTTTTTTCATTTCACCTACAAACATACTTTGAAGACTACAAAGCATTTATCTGCAACTTGGAATTCACAACTGAATTCTGACTTGTATCAGTCTCTCTATTGCGCTAGAATATCAACATATTAACGCTTTAAAAATCCACAAACTGTGCATTAAAATGCTGGTTATTCTTTCCTGCTGGCAAAGTAAACAGCGCTAGTTATTTATTAAACTTTGAGTGGCAGTGTTCCCTCTAAGACGATTTCTGTTCTTGATCCAATACTGAAAAGAACTATATCTCGCAGTCCGATATGATCACCATTTCCAAATTACAGGGGATGATTTTTTTTATCGTACGCTTTATCTCCTGAGTCACACGTGCATATTTGGTTTTAACTCTCTGGGTTTAAACAATCTTTATATAAAAATTCTAAAGTGAATCTGAAAACACATTAGATTATATGTATTTTCTAACTCATGATAGAGAGGGAGAGATTTATTTTTAGTCACATGTCTAGCTCATATGTTGCACAATTTGAAGAGATCAAGGTTTTTCAGATAAAATAGCAGAATTAATTTTTTTAGGAAAGACAGGGTTTCACAGAAATTGCAATGCCCTGATCACTGATCACTATAAACCTGTCTATGCTAGATGAAGGTTCTTCATAAGGTTGGACTCTGGGAACATAAATGTCACTCAAATGTCACGAGTGATGATGGATTTAGAAGAATTTGGCAATCAGTGAGTTCATTGCCATGTTGATATCAGATTCAGGGTAAACAATGACAATAGAAACTTGATAGAACATGGCCTAGATGTGGGAAAACCTGGCATAAACTGAACAAAATGATTGATATAGACAGAGAACATGAATTTTATTAATGATCTCCCATACTCATTCCTCCATCTAATAACTTGTATGGTTGAGGTGTGGCTTGAGAGATACAGTTTGAGATTTATTTATAAAGATTATTTTGTATGGAATGGCCATAGTCCTATAGTTTAGAACAGGGCTCGACAAATCCCAGATGCCAGGTCGCCATGGCAACTAAGAATTTTGCCCAGGCTCCTAGGATTGGTCATCCCATTCACTTACTTCAGGGCGTCTTTGCTTGAGGCCGGAGCAAGTCATTTATGTGAAGGGGGTGAGGGTTGTATCAGTGGCGGTACGGGGGGAGGGGAAAGGGGGGACTATCAGTGTCATGAGTCACCCCCCATACATTCTTATAGTGCGGACCGACAGCCTATACTGGAGTTTATGTGAAGGGGGTGTATTAACTTTATGTAAAGTGCCCGGTGCAGGGTTTGTTATGTGTATGGGGTGCAGGATTTTTTTTAGGACAGGGGGTTTGTTTAATGGGTCAGGGTAAGGGGGTTTGTATAATGGGTCAGGGTAAGGAGTTTTGTATAACTTTTCTAAGTTAATAATTTATTTTTCATAGTTCTAGTGTTTTCAAGTTGTAATACAATTTACAAATTTGTGCAATAAATATTCTTGAAAAACAATTTTAAAAAAATGTGTGGGTGTTTTTTAAATTTTAAAGAGGGGGGGTGCCAAACTCAGGATCCGCCCCGGGTGCCAAATGCTCTCGGTAAGCCCCTGCCTCCCTCCATTGTACCAGCCCTTGAAGCCCACCCTGTCTCACTACCTGTTATTTGACAATTAAGACCACTGCTTTGTTCCCTCTTCTTGTTCACCCCCCTTCTACAAACTCTGGCCATCCCACAGTCCCGCTCTAGTTCCACTCAACGCACTTACAAGGCATGCATCTGCAATCCATCAAGGCTTCTCTATGAAGCATGTGCTTGAATCGTGACCCGAAAGATGATGACGCTGTGTTGACAACAGAGGAGTGGATGCCGGGATAACATGGCCTGGCACTGATTTACAGAGACGTTTTATAGCATTTTAAAAAGTTATATATGCTAAAAACAGGAGACCTTGAGAGATATAAATATACTCTAATACAAGAAAATGATATTAAAAATTAAGCTGGAGTAACCTTTTAACCTAATATATGTATTCTATAGGCTTGCAAAATGCATTTTCGCCTTACTCTGCAAATAACAGTAATATACAATGTATATAGATTTTTTTTTTTTTATAAATGGAATTAGGAAACTCCACACAGAAGATGCATTGCATAATAACAGTGCTGCTAAAATAAACTCAATATTAAAAAAAAACAAAAAAAACACTACATTACATGCAAACAGCACACACACTAATCTATCAAAGCAATTTCAAATCACAAAATCTTAAAATGTGAATTTAGTCACAAAATATGATCATGAAGTGCTAAGCCAAATCACTGTGGGGTATTATAAGCACACACACAAAAAGAATGCATGGAGCTCAATGATCTCAACCAAAAGGTTGGGAAGCAGCAAGGGGGCCAGTGCATACATTTTGAAATGCTCACAGGGAGGTGTGTCTTTGGGGGGAGGGGGCGGGGATAATCTAGAACGCTATAGCATTAGGAATACGTGGTTTTATTGCTAACGCTATAGTTTTCCTTTAAGTCATTAATCATTGAGGAATCCTGTAGAATATGAATTATCCATACTACAGGGCAGCACTATTTATATGCAGCCCATCTATTTGAAGTAATACATGTATTAGAAGACATGGTGGATCTGGTAGCCCTAAGTACAGGTAAAGAGAAATGGCTAGTCAAGCCCTGATTACGTCTGAGTAAGAATTCTGAGTGGTAGATTTTCCAATACATTTCTTAATTTAATTTTTTAATGTAGGCAAGGCCCGGACTGTCCATCAGGCAAACCGGCAAATGCCAGGTTGGCCGTGATGGCAAAGTGGGCCGAGGCTACAGGTTACCATAGCAACACACTGTTACATTCCCAGGAGCGGTCTGCATCCACTGGGTATGCAGAATGCTCATTCTCCCACCGGACCACCAGGTATCAGAATCCCCCTCCTGGCCACTGCCCCCTTCCCCCACATTACTGCCCCTATCCCATTTATCACATCCCCTATCCTCCACATTATTACCTCTATCCCTTATCACAAACCCTGTGTTCTTGGGAACATTTCTTCCAGAGAAAGGTATTTTTTACCCTTTTATTTCTGGGTGTTCTTTTTACTTTTGGGTGTTACTTCTGGTTCTACACGTGACATTATGCAATGTCTTTGGTCCAGAAGGGTTACTGACATTACATAGTGCAGAATGAGATTTCCAGAATTTGTCAGGGCAGACGGACTCGCTTACTGAGATTATAGAGGCTACTGCACCATTTTAACACCATAGCCCCTATCCCTTCAGCACTGCCATTACCTCCCAGCACTGCCCCTCTACTGCCCCTACCAACCCAATACAGCCCCTATGCTTACATCACACCGCTCTACCCCCCCAGATTATCATAACCTTCACACAATGCAGCCCGTATCTAGCAACTACTACAGCCCCTACACTCATCACAGCCGGTATTGAGGTTCACCCACTGGAAGCTGGATCCTGGTCTTGGGTCCAGGGTTGGTGTAGGACGGCAAGTTCCCAAGCAAAGCTGTAACGCTGCACGTGGGGACTACAGTGCTGATGGTGTCGGGTGGAGTGTTTGGATTAATCGGTGAGCACTAGGAGCATGAGTTGGCGGAGGCACCCGGTTGGGGTGCCAGGCGGTCCGTCACACTGAGCCTTCTACGTCATAGGAAAAATAGTTCTCCAACATACTGAGTGCAAAGGCGCCATCACTTGTACAGTATAATGAACACGGCGTAGAATCACAATGTCACCATGAAGACAGATCATTTGACAGCCATAGCCTTTTTTTTTTTTTATTTTAAGGTGCATCAACATGACAGAATTGTATTACCATATGCTATCATATCCGCTGCATATGTTAACTTATGCAAGAAACAATATCCGTAGTGAATTCTAATAAGCCTGTCACTTCTTTTGAAGGATTAGTAAGTAGAGTGTTTTACCACCAATATTTACAAAGGGGCAGAATTAGCAAAACAGCAATTACTACAGTTTTGTATTAACCCTATGAGTGCCACAGACATGAGTATTATAGATACTCATGCCTGTGGCACTCAGAGGGTTAATGCAAAGTAGATCTGCAATTATTTTGTCTACAATTAGAAATAAAGATGGAATAATAGATTATTGCTTAACATTTCGCACACCAGGAGAGAAACTCTAAATACTCCCAATTCTGTACCTTCCATTGCTCAGTGCTACAGAACACTGGCCCTTTTATAAACCTAAAAATATTAAAGGTAGTGCTGCAGCCCACTGTAGTGATTATGGCACCCCTCCCAGGGTAAGAAATCAAACCGTTTTATAAATGATTTTACAGCTTCCCTGGGGTCTACAGGGCGTCAGTCACAGTATCCTGTGCAGCCGGAAGCTCCTGCTAACTCCACTGAGCCAAGCCCCATCATGCAGGGCCAGCACATTGGCTGAAAGTATCAGCTGAATGCAGGGCTAATAAGCTAAGCCCTGTACTGCCAGACTTAGCTCATTGCAGAGCGTTCTAAGGGCACAAGACTAGGCAACTGGCAGCACCTAGGAAAGTTGATAACCTGTTCACAAATGATTTGACTACGTACTCTGGGACAATGCCAGGGCTCTCAATGCACCATAACCACTGCAGTGGTTGGAGTATTCCACTGCACCGGGTTATTAGCTCTCTTTAGATCAGTGATGGCTAATTTTGGCACTCTAAATATCCCAAAAGCATGTGTCCCCTGATACCAATCTATCCTGATATACATAAAAAGGAGGAGCAAACGCTATATAAAAAAATAAAAAAATCTTTATTGTAAAAGATGCTGAAAGATATTTTAAAAAAGGCACATACACAATGCAGTCAAAAATACACAAAGTAAAAACACAGTTCACACAAGATATTTATCAGAAAACAGAAATATAAGTAGGTCCTACAGAACACAAGCTGTCCTCCCTTACAGCCAAATGTTGAGGGGTGAGAGGGGCGGTGGTGTTCCTTTCTTTTACTATTGATTATAATGGAGATGATTTAGTCCCAATTAATTATTTTGTCTTAGATTTTCAATTTTTGAAATACACTACGAGTCAGGGTTTAGTACATAAACCTCTGTATGTGGCATTTTCAAGTGCCAGTGGCAAGTGAATATTTAGAGCCATGCGCTCCCAGACATCATTAATTTGGACTGGGCCCTCTTCAGTAAAGTGTCACGAATCTTATTTAATTTTTCTCATTTTAAAATCTAAAACATCAATGTTTTAAAAAGACAGATTATACTTGTCACAGCAGAACTTGCTGATGGTTATTTAAAGCCGTATTACAAAGCATTGCATATTCACACCTCCTCTACTTCTAGCCACAGATAAAAGGTCCTACCAAGGTGTGAAATGTTTGTTCACAAACAGCCCCCATGCACTAAACACAATTAACAGAGGTGAATTTCAAAACCGAAAAATCCTATAGAAGAGGCATGTTGGAAAAGCTTACTTGTAATTGTTTGAAAGCAAAAAAAAAAAGATAAATCCGAATGAGCATTGACAAGCATCAAAGGTACATCATTGATACAATCTCAGAGATTCTTAGAACACAACAATGTAAATACATAGTAGGAATCCTCTTGGAATTATCTGTATCCCTGCAGATTCTTCTGGCAGGGACAGAGTTAAAACACATCTGTTCTCCACAAGACAGATCTCATGTTAACCTAGGATAGAGGCCCTACACAAAATTCCAGTGTATGACTGCACTGCTGATAAAAACCAGCAGTGTGCTACCCAGCCCCCCAGGATGTATGCAGCCCAGATCACATCCTGTGCAGGCTGTATTGTAAAGAACGCCCATTACCCCACCAAAAAAAAGTTACACTTCCTATCTAACAGCTCTTTGTTCTAGTAAAGTCTCCCCCATCCTAATAAACATGCTGAGATAGACACGAAAGCAACAGATCTCAGGGATGAGCAGCTTTTTAAATTGCAGATATTATGAACTATAGTCCATGTTCTTCTCAGCCAGTGCAGAAGCTTAAAAGTTAACCAGGGGTGTGTGTGTGTGTGTAAGAGCCAGTGTGTATGTGTGTAAGAGACTGTGTGTGTGTGTGGTGGGGGCTGGTGGAGGAATCTGGAGAGCCAAATGTTGATTGTCACTTTCCAATATGCTGCTTGTCAGCCTATGCACAAGGAAAGGCGGAATAACATAATGCAAAACATGCAAAAAGGTTTAGGCAAGGTTTGGGTACTGTGGTATTACTGTCCATGGCCAAAAAGTTTGCTTTGTGAGGGCTGCCAATGCCCACAAGATACCCCTGGCCTGCTAGTTGGGTGAAAGTGAAAGGATCTGGAGGGCTGTGCTCTCTTTCGTTGGCCCCTTCCCTGGGCTTGAAAGTGACATTCGCTGCTACCCACTGTTCTGTGCCAGGGCCACAACAAGTATGAATTGGAAGGACTTGCATCATTACTGAAACTGCCAGGGCTGGCTAAGCATCAAGCTTAACACCTAACACCTAAGGGATCAGCCATCAGCCTTAAAGGGACACTATGGTCACCTGAACAACTTTAGCTTAATGAAGCAGTTTTGGTGTATAGAACATGCCCCTGCAGCCTCACTGCTCAATCCTCTGCCATTTAGGAGTTAAATCCCTTTGTTTATGAACCCTAGTCACACCTCCCTGCATGTGACTTGCACAGCCTTCCATAAACACTTCCTGTAAAGAGAGCCCTATTTAGGCTTTCTTTATTGCAAGTTCTGTTTGATTAAGATTTTCTTATCCCCTTCTATGTTAATAGCTTGCTAGACCCTGCAAGAGCCTCCTGTATGTGATTAAAGTTCAATTTAGAGATTGAGATACAATTATTTAAGGTAAATTACATCTGTTTGAAAGTGAAACCAGTTTTTTTTCATGCAGGCTCTGTCAATCATAGCCAGGGGAGGTGTGGCTAGGGCTGCATAAACAGAAACAAACTGATTTAACTCCTAAATGACAGTGAATTGAGCAGTGAAATTGCAGGGGAATGATCTATACACTAAAACTGCTTTATTTAGCTGAAGTAAATTTAGGTGACTATAGTGTTCCAAATGAATGCCAATAATAACAACAATTATAGGTGTGCAATAAGAGGAGATCAGCCTCTGTCCCTGTCATCATAAAATCCCCACCTGCGCAGGACTGCAAATTCCATGATGCTTAGTGAGGCTAACTGAGCCTAGTTGGTCTTGTTTTAGCTATTGTACAGCGCTGCAGAATATGTCGACACTATATAAATAATCTGAGAATCCTAATTTTGGACTGTCAGATAAGAAGAGAGGTATTAACCAATAAATATTTTTATTTGTTCACTAAATATTTACTATTGTTGATTACCTAAACGTTCAGTAAATAAACCTACTTTTAGTTAGAAAATTCAAAAGCAGTTCAGTGAATAATCCCAGTTTAATCTGATAATCTACAATTTGGAATGTCAGATTAAGCAGGGGCTTATTCACTAAACATTACATTTAGATTACTAGATTAAATTAGGTTTACTCACGTAGGATTGCCTGTAATTACAAAAATATACTTTGGTGAATAACCTTCCCCCCACCCCCATTTAGTCTGAGAATCCAAAACAACAATTTAGTGAATACACCCTGTTTAACCTAAAAATTTTAATTTTGCAAAGTCAGATTTAAAATGGTTTATTCACTAAATGTTACTTTTGGATTTCCAGATTAAAATAGGTTTATTTATTTAGGACAGAATTGATAGGGATTACATATACTACTTTTAATGAATAAATCACATTTAATCTGAGAATCCAAAATCTGCCTTTAGACCATAAATGCCCCCAAAATAAAATCTGTAATACTCACTCATCTCTCTTCTCTGTTCTGTCTTAAATGAAGTTGGAACTTCTGTTTAATGCAAGTATATGAAGGCAACCAGAGTAAGTCCTACTCAAAACAATGCTCTGGTTGGCTGCATTCACTATGGCTCACTCTGATTGGTTGCATTCTTTGTAGGTTTGTATTAGTATTATTTGGCTGTTCCTTGGAGAGTACTGTAGTTCCAATCACACTGAAGACAGAAAACAGAACAAGGAAGATGGGAAGGAAAAATGGAATTGCAATTAAGCAGAAATGCAAATAGATTACACAGATGCAATGTGTCCATCAAGCAATGTGATTTTTGTATAAAGCATTTTCAAACTGATTAGTTCATTCTTGATTAGGATTAACGAAAAAACCCAAAATTTGGACACCTTTTAATTCATCCAAAAACAAATGCAGGTCTAGAAGGTAGATCTCGAGCTTTCAATGCATGATGGGAGTTGTAGTTGTACAATTACTGGGTATGTACTTTTTGGCCACCCCTGGTTTAACCCCTAAACCAGTCCTTGTAATGTCCTTATAAAGCAATGTTCTAACTGAAGTGTGCCCTGGTAGACACGATATAGGAGTGAACAGTTTATTTACAAGTTGGAAACAATGAAACCTTCCCCCACCTCCTGCAATCAGACTCGGTTTAGGGGAAATTGCTTCCAGATAGAAAGGAAACCTTTAAAAAATGTTTCCCCAGACTGAGCCAGTTAAAGGTAGGGGATGACCAAAGCATACACGATTACAATATTTCCTAATGGTGTTATTTACCTTCCACACTCAACATATAGTGACCCTTTCTGGTTTCAGACAAACTCATACTGCCTAGCAGTACCCTCAGCCAGCCTTTCTGGGTAATCTGCCCATTTTACACCCTCAGCCAGCCTTTCTGGGGTACTGTGCCCATCTTACACCCTCAGCCAGCCTTTCTGGGGTACTGTGCCCATCTTACACCCTCAGCCAGCATTCCTGGGTACTGTGCCCATCTTACACCCTCAGCCAGCCTTTCTGGGTACTCTGCCCATCTTAAACCCTCAGCCAGCCTTCCTGGGTAATCTGCCCATTTTACACCCTCAGACAGCCTTCCTGGGTAATCTGCCCATTTTACACCCACAGCCAGCCTTCCTGGGTAATCTGCCCATTTTACACCCACAGCCAGCCTTCCTGGGTAATCTGCCCATTTTACACCCTCAGACAGCCTTCCTGGGTAATCTGCCCATTTTACACCCTCAGCCAGCCTTCCTGGGTAATCTGCCCATTTTACACCCTCAGCCAGCCTTTCTGGTGTACTGTGCCCATCGTACACAGTCAGCCAGCCTTCCTGGGTACTGTGCCCATCTTACACCCTCAACCAGCCTTCCTGGGTACTGTGCCCATCTTAAACCCTCAACCAACCATCCTGAGTCTTTGTACATGCTACACCCTCAGCCAGCCTTTCTGGTGTACTGTGCCCATCGTACACAGTCAGCCAGCCTTCCTGGGTACTGTGCCCATCTTACACCCTCAACCAGCCTTCCTGGGTACTGTGCCCATCTTAAACCCTCAACCAACCATCCTGAGTCTTTGTACATGCTACACCCTCAGCCAGCCTCCCATCGTTTCTTGACAAGTATGCTTGGTACTTGCGATCTATCCAGTTTGTCAATCTGCCTCACAACCTTTCCATGAGTATGGGTATGTACCCGTTTACCCATTCTTACTCGCCGAATACCCAGCACCTTACTCCATGCCCAGCTGGACACCCTGATTGCCCTATTCACTTCTTACTACCCTGATTGCCCTATTCACATCTTACTACCCTGATTGCCCTATTCACTTCTTACTACCCTGATTGCCCTATTCACTTCTTACTACCCTGATTGCCCTATTCAAATCTTACTACCCTGATTGCCCTATTCCCAGCTGAATCCTCAAGCTGTGCTGCCATCTATATACTTGCCAGCCTCTCTGCCCCATCACACAATGAATGCCCTCATGCCTATAGACGAATTGCCTCCAGCTCTATCCCATACCCAGTCTGTACCCTGACTGCCACCCACCCACATTGCTGGCCCCCTCCCCTTCACAGACAGCAACAACACCGTAAACTGCAAAGAGAGAACTTACCAGCGGGATGTACAAAGCAGACCGCCTCCTGCATCCAGCGCAGAGAGAATCCACTCAAACTGTGCCCGCTGCTCTGCCCTCCCTATAACCACACTCTGCCCGCTGCTCTGCCCACACTGTGCCCGCTGCTCTGCCCTCCCTATACCCACACTGTGCCCGCTGCTCTGCCCACACTGTGCCCGCTGCTCTGCCCTCCCAATACCCACACTGTGCCCGCTGCTCTGCCCTCCCTATACCCACACTGTGCCCGCTGCTCTGCCCTCCCTATACCCACACTGTGCCCGCTGCTCTGCCTTCCCTGTGCCCACACTGTACCCACTGCTCTGCCCTCCCTGGCTGCTCTCTCTGCCTGAGATATAGGACTGAGAGAGCCACGTGGATTGGAGGAGACAAGTTAAACACAGAGGGCTTCGCTCCGCCCTGTTAGCTGCTCACAGGGGCTCTGTGGCCCCCGTGGACAGCTGTGTCATCATCACACTGGGAGGCTCCTGCTTATCAATAGCTCAGCTGGGGCTCCTGCCTGCTCTGCTGCCAGCCCTGGTCCTGCTCTGCTCCCACTCTGCTGCCAGCCCTGGTCCTGCTCTGCTCCCAGCCCTGCTCTGCTGCCAGTCCTGGTCCTGCTCTGCTCTGCTGCCAGCCCTGGTCCAGCTCTGCTCCCAGCCCTGCTCTGCTGCCAGTCCTGGTCCTGCTCTGCTCTGCTGCCAGCCCTGGTCTCTGCTCCCAGCCCTGCTCTGCTGCCAGTCCTGGTCCTGCTCTGCTCCAGCCCTGGTCCTCCTGCTCTGCTCCCAGCCCTGCTCTGCTGCCAGTCCTGGTCCTGCTCTGCTGCCAGCCCTGGTCCTGCTCTGCTCTGCTGCCAGCCCTGGTCCTGCTCTGCTGCCAGCCCTGCTCTGCTGCCAGTCCTGGTCCTGCTCTGCTCTGCTGCCAGCCCTGGTCCAGCTCTGCTCCCAGCCCTGCTCTGCTGCCAGTCCTGGTCCTGCTCTGCTGCCAGCCCTGGTCCTGCTCTGCTCTGCTGCCAGCCCTGGTCCTGCTCTGCTGCCAGTCCTGGTCCTGCTCTGCTCTGCTGCCAGTCCTGGTCCTGCTCTGCTCTGCTGCCAGCCCTGGTCCTGCTCTGCTCTGCTGCCAGCCCTGGTCCTGCTCTGCTCTGCTGCCAGCCCTGGTCCTGCTCTGCTCTGCTGCCAGTCCTGGTCCTGCTCTGCTCTGCTGCCAGTCCTGGTCCTGCTCTGCTCTGCTGCCAGTCCTGGTCCTGCTCTGCTCTGCTGCCAGCCCTGGTCCTGCTCTGCTGCCAGCCCTGGTCCTGCTCTGCTCTGCTCTGCTGTCAGCCCTGGTCCTGCTCTGCTGCCAGCCCTGGTCCTGCTCTGCTCTGCTGCCAGCCCTGGTCCTGCTCTGCTCTGCTGCCAGCCCTGCTCTGCTCTGCTGCCAGCCCTGGTCCTGCTCACAGTCCTGGTTCTGCGATGCTGCCAGTCCTGTTCCTGCTCTGCGATGCTGTACTCTGCTTTGTTGTGTTTTAGTGTGCTCTGCTGTACACTGTTCTGCTGTAGTGAGCTCTGCTGTACTCTGCTCTGCTGTATTCTAGTGTGCTCTGCGGTATTCTAGTGAGCTCTGCTGTACTCTGCTCTGCTGTATTCTAGTGTGCTCTGCTGTACTCTGCTCTGCTGTATTCTGGTGAGCTCTGCTGTAGTGTGCTCTGCTGTACTCTGCTCTGCTGTATTCTAGTGTGCTCTGCTGTACTCTGCTCTGCTGTATTCTAGTGAGCTCTGCTGTAGTGTGCTCTGCTGTACTCTGCTCTGCTGTATTCTAGTGAGCTCTGCTGTACTTGTGGGGTGCTGTATTTGGGGTTCTATATGATGTGTGCTCTATTTTTCTGTACTCCGCTGCTCTCTGTATCTAGCACATCTTCAGTTGCATTCCCAGAACCAGGATGAGGGTGACTGGATCTGGCTGGCTGAGATCAATAGGAATTGGAGTGACCAGCAGATGGAGTCTGCGTGGCAGTTATACTAATCGATTGGTCAGGCACCATAGATTGAGTCGCTGGATATGTCTATCCACATATTGGACAGTTATTAAAATGAATCTGTCTGCTGAGGATAATAGGAGTTAGTCCCCGGTATGTATGACGCCAGGGATTGGTATTGATATAAAGTAGCAATCCCAGAAAACATTTTCAGGCTGGACAAATGGAGTGCCAGGGATTGTCTAATGATGTATACAGGACAGTGATCCAAAATAAACTGGTGGACTGCCTAAGGCTATAAAGAGCAACTGAAGTGGCAGAGCTTGCATATCCTGATTTATATAGGATAGTAATTGGCATTTAGTTGTCTGCTGGCTTGTGGTAACATGTGTTTGTCTAAGGCAGCTATTTATGTAAACAGTAATCCTAAATGTATTGGCAGGCTGGCTGAAGGTAATATGTGTTGGTCACCAGCAGGTGGCGTGCCAGAGTCTCTATATTATACTATATATTGGATAACAATCCAAAAGCACATGGCAGGATGCCTCATGGTTATAGGAGTTAGTGTCATCAGTCTGTGCCATGCCAGGTATTGTCTATCCTCATTTTGGTAGAGCAGTATTGGCTGTGGGTGACCGCAAACAGTGGCTGAAGTGTCAAGTTTTGGCTTTTACACTGACAGTGTAGGCGTTATGAGAGTTGGAATCCCCCAAAACAAGTATGTCAGATACTGGTTAGGGAAACTCTGTATTATGAAAAGACAGCCCCACCCTGTCAATCTGCAGCAGCACAGCAATAAGGGGCTAGCTTGCTTAATTAGCTGAACACCTCCTCAATTATAGAATGACTAATTAATAAACCCATTCTAATTCTGAACATACTGACACCAGGCACCATGACCACTTCAAATCAATTAAGTAGTCATGGTGCTTAACCCTCTGTAATGGAATGGTGGGGTGGGGGGCACAGCAGGAACATGCATTCCTCATTAGTGGTACTGCAGTAGATACACATAAAATGCCTTACATTTTACAGGGCTAATTAAAATCACCTATCTTGGCAAATAAATATTGGGATTCAGTTACACCATATGCACATATCGTGTTAAACCCACCACTGTGTCGGAGTACCCCAATATCGGTGAGTCCTACACTTATTTTAACATGGTAGATTAACATACTAACTGCTTTCAGAGACTCTCCTCAAATGTATGCTTTCATCTGGTCAGCTCCAAAATGGTGAGTGGAGGGGTGGGGGCTAAATCCGAAAAGAATCTGGACTGGATTCTAAACATGCACAGAAAAAAGGGAATCGGAGGGGGAACACTATGAACATTCACTTCTCAGTAGCGGTGCTGCCATAGAGACCAACATTTATACAAAATACAGATTAAAGGACCACTATAGTGCCAGGAAAACATACTCGTTTTCCTGGCACTATAGTGCCCTGAGGGTACCCCCTCCCGCCCGGCTCTGTGGAGAGGAAAGGGTTAAAACTTACCTTTTTTTCCAGCGTCGGGCGGGGAGCTCTCCTCCTCCTCTCCACCTCCAATCTTCCCTTTCGGCTGAATGCGCACGCGCGGCAAGAGCTGCGCGCGCATCCAGCCGGTCTCATAGGAAAGCATTCATAATGCTTTCCTATGGACGCTTGCGTGTTCTCACTGATTTTCACAGTGAGAAGCACGCAAGCGCCTCTAGCGGCTGTCAATGAGACAGCCACTAGAGGATTTGAGGGCTGGATTAACCCATTTATAAACATAGCAGTTTCTCTGAAACTGCTATGTTTATTAAAAAAAGGGTTAACCCTAGCTGGACCTGGCACCCAGACCACTAAATTAAGCTGAAGTGGTCTGGGTGCCTAGAGTGGTCCTTTAAGGAACACCGCTAGATATGCTGCTTTTATACTGAAATGTAAGTGAATAAATATTTTGTATTTTTATAATTTTATTCACATTCGTTCTTGCCTTCAGCTATAATGGAAACTACTAGCTATTTACTACATATAGTGAACATCTAATGTCCTGCCACATAACATCTCTCTCTGTCAGAGGATTTCTGAAAAGCTCTATATTTGAGTGACCATTTGGAAGTCCATATTATATGGCGTTACACAGTTAGGCACTATGTATTTTTCTCTTGGTTTTTTTTAGTCTTATCCCCTATTTTGTAATTTATTTGTAATTTGTTTTAAAGTTACAGGAACATCTCCCAGCCATAGGAAGTATTTGTCCTTTTATGTAGATTTGGCACTGCACACATTGATTGGTTGCACATTTTGGATATAAGAATGTCAATTGATTCTTACGATTTTGTAGACTCTGACCTGGCAATGTTTTGACCTTAAAGGGACAGTCTGTGCACCAGCATAACTTTAATGTATTTGATATTGGCCTCATTCGTACGCTGTATTTTTTTTGCATGCTGAAATCTTTATAGTTTTTGTATAAGAAACAAAAAATGTCAGAATGCCACATCATAAGCCTGCCTCTTTAGCCACACCCACTCACTTCAGAAAAATACTTCCTCATCAAAGATATGCTCACAGCTCAGCCACTGACAGTCAGGGGCGGATCCAGAACCAAATCTCGGGAGGGGCACTTAAGTGGGCTAGAGCGGGGTGAAAAGTTTAGGGGATAGGAGGCTGTACACATATGCGGCCACACCGTAATATGGAAACACAATAACACACTGACACATACACACAGATACAAACATACCTTCAGACACATACACTGGCACACCCACAGATAAAAACCTATACCTACACAGGCACACACACACACATACCTACACACACAGATACTCACACACACACACACACATACCTGCACATAAACACACTGGCACATAGATACACACATACCTACACATGCACACTGGCGCATACGCGCACCCACACACACACACACACACACATATCCCTACACATACACAAAATGACACACATACCTTCACACACACACAGATACAAGGTAATAGAATATACAGGCAAAACTCCATGTACTGAAGGTGTACTTATTGGAGGGTAGAACAACTTAAAAGTGCACGTGCGACGTTTCGGCCCTTGGGGGGCCTTAATCATGTTTAAGTCCCTCTAGGGCTGAAAAGTTGCACTTTTATGTGGTGTTCTACCTTCCAATAAATACACCTTTAGTACCTGGGGTGTTGCCTGTATATTCTATTACCTTGTATTGTTGGACGGATTAGCAGTGTCTATGTAATGCAGAGCACCTCTGAGGCTGTGGGCCGGAGTGAAAAGCGGAACCTGAGTGCAGTGGATTACGTTGTCTGTGGTACACACAGATACACACGCATATATACTCACAGATACACATTAACACTCACAGATGCACACACTGACACTCCGATACACACTGACACTCACAGATGCACACTGACACTCACAGATGCACACTGACACTCACAGATACACACTGACACTCACAGATACACACTGACACACACAGATGTCCCCATACCTAAACATACACACTGACACACACACAAATTGCAGCTTCCATAATGTTAAGCACCCTCCTCTCTGCTTAAATACCTTTTTCTTTGCAGGGAGGTGACTTCCTGAGGCTGGCTGATCCTGATGGGAGTCTGAAGTTGCAGAGCTCTCTCTCCTCCCTCCTCCTTCTCTCCCAGCTGCATCCTGCGTGTTCTCAGCGCCCGCGGTCTGTAGATGTCCGTGTGGCAAACCTAGCCACTTGTAGGATAATGGACTATCTATATCAAAAGGTTGTCTGTAATAACCGCTGTAATATATGTGTAACATTGGTTTATACTGTTATGTGCATAGAATTTGTATGCTACCAGCCGAAAGCCGCTAGCATTCATTTATTTAGTTTCACGAACAGCGACTTTACTGGCTGTTCGTGAACCGAATGAGCTACCCCCTAATAGCCCACACATAGAGGGACGTGTGGCACACATTAACTCATTAAGTACATTGTTGCAATCGGTAATTAAAGACTTTCCTAGGTGGCCGTCATTCGGCTACTGACCACGCGGCGGTCGGCCATCTTGGATCCTTTGTCTCACCAGTGGTGTTTGGTCGTCGAGCTCGTGGAACTGAAAATGGCTACTCGACGGCACGAGCACCGTGGGACTTCCAGGCCGTTCGGGAGCTCCGGTCTTTTGCTAGTGTGGTTCCCCATCGGTGTTCGGTACTTTTAGGCAAACTCAACGGCAAAGTGTATTTCGTGCGGCGTTCGGTTGTGTGTTTTTTTTTTTGTTTTTTTTGAATTTACGTTTTCTTTATTTTTATCTCACACTATTTGCCACATTGTAAACATAAGGTGAACAGAAAAAAAAAAAAGGAAAAGGGACATGCATAACTCTCGCAATACATATCATCACGTTAATACCTATTATTCTAATTTTTTTTTTTATACAGCTTATATATTTATTTCATCTGTATTTTAACCCTTTGTAATTCTGTATTACAGCATCCCGAACAACAACAAAAAAAAAAAAAAAAGGGAGGAGGGAGGGGATTTTAAAAACACATTGATATTATCGTTTGGCCTTTTATTCTTTTAAGAGTCTTACTTTACTTCTTATTGCTAAAGTGCTTATTTATCTTCTATTAAATTAATTTTAATATAAATTTCTTGCTACTATCCCTATTGGATATTGGGTAAAAAATGCCGGAAGAAAATTTGGATGCTCGAATAGTTACATTACCCAAAACCAGTAGCTCGCCCGTGTATGCCCAAAAACTAATTCTTATTAATAGCTTGGAGGTAAGTTTGCCACATTTGGGCTATTTGGGGGCTCAGTTTCCCTATTCTTCTTTGGTTCCACATTAATAGTTCATATTCTACCGTTGTCGACATTACATCTTCAATTTCTTGTAGTGAAGGTAAGTCTTTGGACTTCCAATATCTGGCAATTAGTATAGATCCTGTGCTCAGTAGGAGAAATATCATTTTCTTAATTACTTTAGTGATAGCGTTCGGTTGTTTTAGCTGGGATCTGAGCGGTATTCCCACGAAATGTGCACTCAGACCCCAGCTATCTACCGAACGTCCATTCATTTAAATAAACGGAATATTGCTAACGTTATGTATTTAAAAGTAAAATGCCGGTTCTGCTGCATGGAGGGATAATCCACTTAACCGTATATTACAGTGGGAGTATTCCTCTCGTCCAGCAGTGCCTGATGGGAGAAATGCTCAGAATGTTAAGTCCCCCATGTAGTCCCCTACTGTATTACCCCTGCTATGTCAGTAAGGAAACCCCTTGCATGGGGACTTGCATAAATACTGGATGCTGTGAATAAAAACCTCAGTTGACTCCCAGAACTGTATTTCATCCGGTTACTGGGGGATTTGGGATATTGCCTTACTTTTCAGCGCTGACTGTGGATTACCTTCTGTACCAGCGGAGATCGTGGGATTTAATATTGTAGCTCCGCTACAGTCCCCATACCTAAACATACACACTGACACACACAGATGTCCCCATACCTAAACATACACACTGACACACACAAATTGCAGCTTCCATAATGTTAAGCATCCTCCCCTCTGCTTAAATACCTTTTTCTTTGCAGGGAGGTGACTTCCTGAGGCTGGCTGATCCTGATGGGAGTCTGAAGTTGCAGAGCTCTCTCTCCTCCCTCCTCCTTCTCTCGCAGCTGCATCCTGCGTGTTCTCAGCCCCCGCGGTCTGTATGCTGGTTGGAAGTAACAGTCACTTCCTCCCAGCACTCCCTGCAACTTTAAAGCGGCCCGGTCTGCCAAAGAGCTGCAGCACCCGACCGAGCCCCTAATAAGGTCGCTCAACTGATGGCAGTTGCACTATTTTCTCAGGGGGGGCAATTGAGACTGTGCTCGTGGGTAAGGAGGCAGGATTATGGTGCAGAATTCTGTAAAACATTTGAGCATATAAAAATACAGCACATTAATGTGGCCATAATCTATCACATGTAATAAAATTGTGTTGATGACCGAAGTGTCCCTTTAAGCCTGACATACACCTCAATGAGGTTGAAACACTGCCAGGTCAGTTTGGTGGCTAAATAAAATACCACTCTTCCATCCCAGTATAGACTGAGCATTCATTGATTTTTACCTTTTTGTAAGTGTCACATCTTTACCTCCTGGTAGCACTGAACACTTTCATAATGCTTGACTGTATTTTTGGTTCATTGTATTGTACTGGCTCATGCGTCTCGACACACAGTTCTATTTAAGAGTGCTCCCAGTAGTATCCACTAATTTGTTTTTCCCGGAGCCTGCTATTTTCTGAAAACAGCAACATAACGCTGGGAAGATTTGACATGGATCATCGGATGGAGAGAAAGAAACTGCTCACTTATCAATGAGGGTCACTGAAATAATTAAAGAGGGGGAACAAAATGTAGTTTTAAATAAGAATAAACTGTAGCTTTATCATAGTAACACGTTCTGCTGCACATAGCTGCCAATATTAAGACAATGTTTAGTTTTAACAGTGTGAGAGAATTAGTGAACCCACCAGAATGTATTTTAATTCCTGCCCTTAATTAACCACTACAGCACATTGTAGAAGTTATGGTGCAATCTTTCATTCCCACATTTTCTGCCAAGACATTTTCCAGTGGTTTGACAAAAACAATGGATTCTCTTGATAAAGAAAGTTCATGTTTTCTCAGGACTAAACTCTGAATTGTTGTAATTTCAATTTGAATGTCAAATTTGAAGCTAAAATGGATGATGTAGAAAAAAATTGCCAAATCCGCTCTAATCACTGCTTGGTTATTTTAACCTCTGTTTTAAAATTAAGATTTAAAGGGACACTTCACTACCCAAATTAAAATTTAAAAAAATCAGTTTAGTAGATTTACCCCTAATGAAAACATGCATACATTTAATAATGCATTTTTTTTAAGTTGTGGGTGTATCTAAAAACAGCTTGCAAAAGCTGCAGTTCTCTTGCAAACCCTTCCCTTCTTCCCCTAGCCCAGATTTTCTGTGGCTGACCAATCACAGACTTCCCAATGCAATTACAGCGCTGCGGAATTTGTTGGTGCTTTATAAATGCCAGTAATAATAATAAATGGGAAGTCTTTGCAAGGCAGGTGCTCTGTGCATTTGCAACCTATTGAATTTAGCTCCACTGAGCTAAACAATCAGGAAGTAGCATGACCAGTTATTTTACAGCTAGGGGGTGCAACCAGATTTATTTATAAAACTATAAATTTCTTTTGATATCTGCACTTGTTTTAAAAAATGAATTGAGGACACACTATCTTTAGCAAGCTGAAGTGCTTTAGGGGTCTGGAGTGTCCCTTTAATACACTGTTTTTTTTTTGTTTTTTTTTAACTTGGAGAATAACAATATCGATGTTTCTTTCAATTCCACATTATCCTTTCAAAGATGTCCACTGCCGGATAGCAATAGTAGGATAGGCTGTTTGATTTTTAAATTTGGGTTCCAAGATATCAAACATAGTAAATGTGCTGAATTGTAATTTTTAATCTATTCATTTAATCTTTACAAAAATAGGGTTGAGGTAGTTAATACATATAGCTTGTCTTGCAATAATTGAGACAAAGTTCTAAAATATTTGTGCAGAACCAAAGAACATTGTTTTTATCGTGTAGGTGACAAAAATACATACAGGGATATCCACTAGAGTGAGGATTCAATGTGAATTTAAGGTCGCAGCACCCGAACGGAAAACATAGCTGATGTAGAGATTTTTTTCCGTTTGGCTACTTTGACTTTAAATTAGAAATCACTTAGAATTTTCACTTTCGTGAATGACCCTGAAAAGTAAACATAAAATTGTCAGACACCCAGTGCGGACTGAACACTCCGTCACATCGGTCATGAACATCACTTCCTGCTGTCTGCGGTGCTCTGTGTGAGGGAGTGAGGCAGAATCCTGGGATGGGAAGTGATGTCCATTCCTGCTCTCCTCTGCGATGCTCTGTGTGAGGGAGAGGTGGGGTCCTGGGCTTTGGGCTTTGTGAAATCTTATCTTTCAATAGTTGCATATCCAGTATCTGTAACCTTCCTTTACTCACCAATAATATCTCATACCAATAACTTAATGAGAAGAATTGCGAACCAGCTGAACGTAAGATTTGTCCGTGTGTATTACAATTTATTACAGCTATTCGGCTATTGCTGTAATCTGAATCCAATGTTCAAGGCAAGGCGATGACAATCGGGGTTTGGGATTAAGGGCCCTCCTTATAAAACAAACATACACCTCAGTTGTCTAAATCGAGATCATTACCCAAGGTGAGAGGGGCAGCGAGGCAACGTTTGGAACAGTAGCTGCCTTGAGATTAACTCCTATAGTTGATAATGTTTCACTTCATATTTACTTGCCTCACAAATAAGGTGGCGCACAGAATGCTAAATCAAGGGAGACATATATTGACAGGCGCTCCATTTGATTCTGCGTGCCTTGCCCACCAGGATATCAGAAATTGTACAATGAGAGGGCATACCTGGAGGCACCAGGCAACTGCTGAGGCTGAAACCTCTCCTTCAAGAACAAAATTGTGGTGGTTGTTTTACTGTACTGTATGAGTGGCTTCTCCGCTTTCCCCTAGTGCAGTACTACCTTTACAGTGTGCAGGGTTACTGCCATGTGACCCCAGCGCCCAAGCAAACACCAACCAAAGATAGTTGCAGACAGGTGATGCTAGGACATAAACTGGTATTCAGGTTACCCCACAAGTTTGCTGCACCCCCCTGTACACCAGGGACGTAAAAGCACAACAGAACCTTTCTCCTCACAGCTTAGACAGGTGCGCTCCATCCGGATTGTTATTTTGTATTTGTGTAAATTGGTATGTGTGTTTCTGTTTTTGGATAAGCTGGTGTGAGAGTGCATAAATTACATTGTGTGTGCACTGGTTACAGTGTGTGTCAATGTGTGTGTGTGTGTGTCGAAGAGTATGGAACATGTCTGCATTTACTAGTGGTTTGTCTCTAGTATCCCTATATGTAAGATACCAGAGGACAAAAGTGGGACAGGGACACGGTCAGTATAAGATGTTGTGCATGTGAGGCTGCATACGGTGGTGTATGTGGTTGGAGGTTTCTTGTGGAATTGCGTCTGTGCAGAGGTGACTGTTTTGTAGCTTGTGTCTAAAGGAGCCCGTGGTGTGTTATGTGTGGCTAGGGACCTTATGTGTTTTCACGGGCTGTAAAGTGTGTATGTCTAGGCGGGTTTTGTGTGTCTGTCTATTTGATGTAGAGAGAGAGAGAGCACAAGCAGCTTTGTAGGTATTACGCTTCTGTAACACCCATCACTTATTCACCAACAGTTTTCTTAACTTTGCCCTGCTTGGGGACACTTTGTTTTAGTAACTGATTAATAAGACGACGTTTAGAAGATGAGTCCCACCAGTTTTCAAACATTAAGGGTTATAGCAACTAAGTCTTAAAGGGACACTCCAGGCACCCAGACCACTTCTGCCCATTGGAGTGGTCTGGGTACCAACTCCCACTACTCTTAACCCTGCAACTGTAATTTTTGCAGGATTAACTCCACCTCTAGTGGCTGTCTAGCTGTAGACAGCCACTAGAGGGCACTTCCTGCATCATAGCACAGAAAACCTGTGCTAGAACGTCGCTGGACATACTCAATCTTTGTGAGGACCTCCAGCGTTGCTTAATTCCCCATAGGAAAGCATTGACAAGCATTCAGTCTCACCCACCGGCCGACGTAATACAGAGGAGGAGCGGAGGAAGAAGCAGCGACGTGGGACATGTCGCTGCCTCTGGTAAGTTACTGAAGGGGTCTTCACCCCTTCAGCAACCGGGGATAGGGGGGTGGCAGGGAGAGGGGACCTGCAGTGCCAGGAAAACTGATTGCTTTCCTGGCACTGGAGTTCCCCTTTGACTTTCAGATTTTTATTTTGATCGTTCTGTATTTGCAAACTTCCACAGTATATTAAAACAGTGTGTATTTCTATTTATTTTTGTATCCATGACAACGTGGTGGAGAAGAAGGTGTCCTGGAATGCCTTTTCTCACACACGATTGGACCAGACGTGACGTCACACAACTAGTTGAAACATCACTTCCAGCAGATGCTGAATTTCTCAAGTGTACAGAAATATACCACAATGAATCCTATTGGTGGAAAAGTTAAGGGACATAATGGCATCCAAGAATTTGAGATGTTTATAAGGAACTTCACCAGAGAATTTACTAACTGAGAAAACGAGTTTTGGTTTTATACATTTGTTTTTACATTGAGTATTGTGTTATTTAAAGGGGCACTATAGTCCCTAGGACAACTACAGCTTATTGTAGTTGTTCTGGTGATTATAGGCAGTCCCTTCAGGCCTTTAAATGTAAACTCTGTCTTTTTATAGAAAAGGCAAAGTTTTCATTTCTCCCAACTGGAGGTGCTTCCCGGGGCAGTAATGTGCAGCACTGACTTTCAGTGTCTCCATTCTCTACGTGGAGATGCTGACCTTTCGCCAGAGAAATGTTCAATGCATGTCTGCAGATATGCTGATTGGCCAAGCTGGCATTTGCAACACCTTCATCCAATCCAATGCTTTTCCTATGGATTGACTGAGATAATCAATTCTGATTATGTCAGCCAAAGAAATGGATCAAGGGGGAGGCCTGCGCCAGCAGACCCGTGTAGCACTGGAAAAAGGTAAATTATAATCCTTTCTGATGGTCTTTCTCCGTTCACCTACCCTGTACCCTTTCTCTCACTCCCCACTGAATTTCAATAACAATTACCAGCTAACAATATGAAGAGCAGACTGTCAGTTTGAACAACAAGGCCATATTCTCCTCCCAGAGCATCACCTTCATCCTAGGGGTGGAGAGATACTGGACACATCCTGAAATAGACCTTTGCCACCACTCAAAAAGGTGTCAACTTCAAATACCTCATCCAGCCCAATGGCCATGGCGCAAGAGTATGGAACAGGCTCAAAGAGAGAGAGGAAATGAAAAAGGGAAAAAGATCAGAAAAAAAAAGGTGGGTGTCAATGACATGGATAATCTTGGAGTTGCCACCCAAAGTGCGCGCCACCTCCAGTTTATTTTTGTCTGTTTGATCTTATATCTCTATGTTAGCAGTATTATTCGAAGCTCCCATCCTAATGTGGAGGCGCCGCAGGAGTGTTTAAGGCTTCTGCATATTCTCATCTGTCAATGAAGATACGTCTGATAACCAGGGTATCCAGACTTCTAAAAAACATTTCAGTCCTGTACTCTAATGCCGCAGTTTGTTCCTCCATGGACCTAATTTCCTCTACCCAGATCTTGAACGTTGGGACTGCACGCTGCCTCAAAAGGACAGGTACCAGAGATCTTGCTACTGTGGATCATTTACACTTGGAGATCGGGGCCTGGGTGTACGGGATACGCATTGTTAAGGGTTCATAACCAACCACTTCTTCTGTTACTCTTATCAGGGCTGCATGTACTTTTTTATAAAACGAGTAATGCGAACTCCCACCACACGTGTATTATCGTATCCCTCTCTTTTCCACAGCGCCAGCACCTATCTCAGTGGTCTAGAGCAGGGCTTGACAAATTTGCTTTCATTCAAGGAGCCAGCTAAAAAAATTAGGAGCCAGTTTGTTTTTTTTCCAACGTCAAAAATACAATTCTTAAAGGGACCTTAGTCACCAGAAACACTACAGCTTAAATTAGTGACTCTGATGTCTATAATCTGCCCACATAGGATTTTCAGAGAAAAGGCAGTGTTTACCTTGCTGCCTAATAACACCTCTAGTGGCAGTCACTCAAACCATATGTGCAGCACCTACATTCAGCGAAGTGGCGGCACTGAGCGTTCCCCATAGAGATGCATTGCTTTAATGCTTCACTATGAGGAGGAGATGTTGATTGGTAATTGATCGTCTCAGTTATGGAGGCGGGCAAGCTGCGGCGAGACTGGCACGGCGTAAAAACACCGTTCCCATGCGATCGGAGGACACACACTGACAGTCAGACTGATACACACACTTAGACACACACATCCTCTCACACACTCATAAGATATGTATTATTTGATACGCACACAAAGAATCATAGATGCACACAGACAAATACACACACAAAAAAATGTGAATACATTTTTAGCCACTCTCTTGTTTCCTACCTTTTGGTCGCAGGAGAGTGGCTTCCCCGTGGTCCAGTGGGACTGGGCACAGCAGCAGACATTAGATTGGTTGGCCTGTCTGCGGCTAATGGGAGTGGGTCAAGACTCTTCTCCTGCACCAGTCTCGATCTCAGGTGCAGCTCACTGTGCACTGGGAGGAAGTGAAGGGATCTGCAATTACTTCCTCCTGGCACTGAAGCTGCGCAGGGGAACGATTGTGCGGGTGGTCGGGTCAGTGAAAAGGGGGCGGGCATTGGGTCTGTGAAATGGGGGCTGGCAGTGAACACAGACAATTTTACAAAGTGTCCTGCTAGCTTGCTAGTTCTCTGTGCGACCGCAGCGCCGGGAGAAAGTAATTACAGATCACTTCCTCCCAGTACACCTACACGGGGACTGAAATAGGAGTTGGAGGAGTGAATGGGCTGACCAATCCCAGGCACCTGGGCAAAATTCTTTGTCGCCATGGTGACCTGGTCTAGAGAGATGTTCTGTCAGGTGTCAGATACCACCTCATGAGAATTTTGTAATTTGTTTCCTGATATTTCAAACTCTGAGAGCTCAGATATGTCAAGGCCATAATTTTAGACCACTGTGGTTCAGAAAGGGACTTCCCTAACTCTTTCTCCCAACCAGCCTGAAAGGGCGGTGGGGTGGGGAGGGCCAGGGGCCCACAAGCAGCAACCCATACAGACTAAAATAATTCTATGTAGTGGTTCCCGCCGTGTGCAGATATCTTCGAACTGTGTGAGTTGTCTGGTTAGTCTCCTTATTAGGGTTATCGAGCAAACAAAGTGTGCCAGGTGGTGTAGCCAGAACTACACCGGGCAAGAGTTTGTGCATCAGTTTCAGCCCATCGTCTGTGCCTTGTCCTGAATAAATGCAAATTTATCGTGTGCCATTCCTGGGAATGCCGGGTTCGTCGTTAATACATAGGTCCATTTTAAATCTCAAATTGTGGGGGGTGGGGCTTGACTGCCATTTCGAACGGTCAAACGAGCTCCGCAATTATCATGCAGTAAAATACGATTTATTGTGCTACCCATCCTGCTACTAAAAGTCTCTCAAGTACGAGGTAGACCTGGGATGCTACTGGGCTTCCAAGAGGTACCAGGCTTTACTTACCGAGACAGATACTCTGCCTGTTGGACTTGCGGCCAGCTGTGGGACAAGCCGGGAGCTACTGGTGACCTCCCTGGTGAGAACCAGCAGACTGATTAGGGGCAGAGTCCCAACCGCCTACCCTCCACCCCCCCCCCTCACCTGGAAGGGTGGGGGTCTTCCTGGTTCTTGCTACCAAACCAACTGTTATCTCGACAGCTACTTACCTGAACTCCTGCATGATGCTCCCGCACCTACGAGCTCAGAGTAAATCCAAGATGGCGTATGCCCTCGGTTCTCAGACCAGCTCACTCCACAGCATAAGGGGGCCAACCATTACTACTTTAAACGATCCCTACAGCATTTGGATGACTTTTTTGCACAGTTCATAACAGAGCTGGAGTGACAGGCAGCACAAGCATCACATCAGGGAAGCTTGGAGGAGAGGTGGCCAGGGGGTAAGCACCTGTCCTTTGGGGATAGCCAATCCAGCCACTCCTGCTTCTACCCATGCTAGCACACCTGGGCCAAAGGCCCAAGGCCGCAGGCGGTGTAAGACCATCACAGCCATCCGTGTCTCCCTGAAGGAGAAGGACTGAGACTCTTGGAGCCACCTAGTCCACGGCTTGAAGATGCTTGCCTTAATCAAGGCCTGGGGCTGGAAGGAGGCTCCCATCCACTCAAACTATAACTCCTCCTGTGCTGGCCCTCTCGCACTGGCTGCACGTATCCCAAGCATCGGAATTGGCTGATGGCTGACTAGATACCTCCTGCAGTTCCACACCTAGAACTGAGGCGTCCTATTGACTGCAGACACCATTCTCTGCCTGAAGAGCTCACTTAGCTTTATTCAGTAGAGCATAGCAGTGTATTTATCTTTATTACTTATTGGCATACTTCTCTCACTCCCATTCTGTGAGATATTTTTATCTCCCTGGTCACCCTTGGCCCCTAGCCATTGTGGCATACCACCACTTGCCTTCACCATGACTCCAACACACTGGCTTCATTGTCAGCATGCTGGCCTCTGATCCTACAATTCCTAACTAGCGCTAGCAACAATGACTAGGGAGGATACTTAGCAACCAAAGCTCATGCGCTGTGTTTTCTCTTATTGGAGAGCAGGATGTTTCCATTACGGAGTTCATGAGCACAGGAGTCTATACCGAAGAGTTGATTGACAGGTGAGTGTAAAACTATTATTAAATAGGTATTTCACCCAATCTATATTTTTTTGCTAACAATCCTCCTGGTACAGTGTACAGCTAGAATTACTGGTGTACAGATAGATGTGATTTTAAGAATATGTATATACACATTTCTATGCAGGTATATTAATGTGTATTATTCATATATCATTATATATTACAGTGTGTGTGTGTGTGTGTGTGTGTGTGTTACACTCAGAAATTACATTAAATTGTAACATCTATGTAATAAGCACTTAGAGGCCCATTTTTCTCGTTAGGTACACATTCCGGAAAGGTAGCATATCCTAAGTGAATAAGCACATTGATAGGACTTCAAAATAAACAAAACAACTTAATTAACAACTTACAATGATGTAATCGTATACAGTCACCAACTGAGTCCCATTACCAAACTCAATATGTCTAGGTAAAAGGACTGAAACATTGACTGTATTATAATGCACATTTGCTTACAATAAAATGGTTCCTTTGTGTATTTTGAAGCCCTAGGGGTGCTTTCTGCTTTCCTCATTGCACTTTTAGGTTATCTTTTCCAACTCTATATCTGCACACTATGCTGGTTTGACGTATTATAGGGCTGGTATAGTATATTTTTCCAAGTCTGCTTTTAGTTCCCAGTCCAACACAACACTGGGATTTGACAGACAGTAAAATCAGGGCCGGATTAACATAGGGGCTGATGGAGCTGCAGCTCCAGGCCCAGGCCCATGGAATAGGCCCATTGATTTATAAAAAAAAAAAAAAAATAATAATTTTTTTTTACATTTTTTTTTTTCCCACACACTACTCTTAGGGATTCCACCTGGCTTTTATTTTATTGGCACAGCCAGTATTTGAGGCTGCCTGGCTGGTGCCAATATTACAGTGATACTGGCAATACAAATGCTGGTATTTTTCTCAGTATAAACAAGAGATTACTATGCAATACCAGCACTGGCCAGTAGGGGTCGCTGTATGTGGAGACAGGCAGGGATAGGAAGTTGCAGCATATCCCTCCCTGCCTACCTATACTCACTGATCTGCAGGGGAGCAGCTACAGAGAGTCCAGACAGCAACTCCCACCCTGCAGAGACAGCCTACAGCTCAGGGAAGTAAGGGATGAGGGAAAGGCTGCAAGGAGACATACACTGAGACACTAAGGGACATTGGGAGACATTATGACACAGACACAGTTTTCCAGTGTCCCCATGTCTCCGAGCCATGTTGCTGGTGTCTCAGTGCCCCCTAGTCTCCCTGTGCCCCCAGTCTGCCAGTGTCTCACTGTCCCCATGTCTCCTAGTGCCTCCATGTCTCCCAGTGCCTCAAGTGTCTCAATGTCCCCATGTCTCCAAGCTAGTGTCCCTAGTGTCTGTGGCCCTGGTGTCTCCTTGTCCCCATGTCTCAATGTCCCCCAGCCAGTGTCTCTAGTGTCTGTGTCCCTGGTGTCTGTGTCCCCATGTCTTCAAGTGACCCCTATTTTCCCAGTGTCCCCATGCGTCCCAGCCAGAGTCCCCTAGTCTCCCAGTGTCACTGGTGTCTCTGTGTCCCTAGGTCTCCCCGTGTCCCCAGGTCTTCCCGTCTTCCTAGTGACATGGGGACCCTGGGATACATGGGGACACAGGGAGATATGGGGCATTGAGACACTGTGATACATAGGATCACTCAGAGACCTGGGGACACGACACTAGGGGACACTGGGAGACATGGGGTACTGAGACACTGATACATAGGAACACTGAGACCTGGAGTAATCGACACATGGGGGCACTGGGAGACATGGGGCCACTGGGAGGAATCCATCTATACAGCAGAATCAAACTAAGTAGTTTTTTGGTGATTTTACAGCATTTTCTCTTATGTCACTCCTTGTGATTTACATCATGTCATGTCACCCATACATATTTAATTATGCAAACTAGCAAGGCCGGTATGTTTTTCCAAGAAAGGTGGCAACTCTAACTACTTTTCACATATCCTTACTTAAGTATGGAAACTTAAGAGGGATGTATTGGAACAAAACTTGTGTGGACTGGCTGACAATGAATATAGTTAAAGGGACACTAGGGTCACCAGAACAACTACAGCTTATTGAATTTGTTCTGGTGAGTAGAATCATTACCTTCAGGCTTTTTGCTGTAAACACTGTCTTTTCAGAGAAAATGCAGTCTTTACATTACAGCCTAGTGTACTCAGCCAATCCTATGGGTAAGCACTGTGAGTGGATTAGGCCACCACTTCTAATGATGTCAGCAGACTGCTTGTTTTTCTGAGTCTAACAGCATGCAGAGTTACAGCTTCAGGCTTGAATACAGTAAGATTTTGCTATATTTATGGAGGCATGAGGGGCCCAGGGGGCTAGATGGTGGTGTTAACACTATAGGGTCATGAATTCATGTTTGTGTTCCTGACCCTATAGTGATCCTTTAAGGTAATGCTGACTTTGGTCTCTCTAACAATGTGCTTCTACACTCACTACATACAGCTTTTCTCTGTCCCAGACTATATACCAGGAGCTTCTGCCTGCTAGTAAGAAGGTAAGGAGACAAGTGGACCAGCAAATGCTAGGGGACAGTCCTTAGAAAGCGTTGAGCGAGCGCATCATTAGATGCATTTATGCCAAGCTCAGGGTGCTGTCTGCATAGTATGCCCTTAGTTGGCCAGTTGCATGATTGGCAGGCAGCCTGACATGCATTCATACCAGGCTGGCCTTCTAATTCTTTGGGCAGACATATCCTCTTTTTGGGCATGTTCGCCCCTTTTGGCAGGTTACATGATTTGTGTCAGTGGCACACCCTTTTACCGTGCCCATTGACTTCTTGCTTGACTGGACACTGCTGTTAGGGGTTATGGATTTACTTGAAAGATGAAAACATAAATTAGTGAGAGATTAGCCTAGGTTATGTGTTTTCTTATAGCTGCTGTTTTCTTTCTCTCCAGCACCATCTCCATCAGATACATGACGCTTGGGAGTATTTTACTGTTTTTGGTCGATATGATTCTGTAATTAGGCCCGTCATAATTGTCAGCACCAGGCCCACTGGGCTCTTAATCTGGCCCTGAGTAAAATGCCACCCCTTACAAATATCAAAGGACCCCCAGGGTCCCTTTATGAAGGAGAGAAGTGATGTGTGGTGAATGCTACATGCAGCCCTGATTTTGAAAATGCCATAATTTTCTCTGCCTTTGCAATTTTGAGATTGATAAGGCAGTAAATACATACCTCACAACCATAGACGAAGCTAGGTCATCATGTGGCATCTAGGGCATAAATCTTTGTCTACCCCATCCCCCTGAATTTTAAACTTTGTGTGTCTCTTTCACACTCCATCAGGTCTTTGTAGTGCTAGCAGCATTTTATTAGATTTGTGGCCCTTTTTCATGGTAATACACAACTATACACACAGTCACTTACACATATCTATACCTACACACACAGTGAAATAAATACACACAGACGCACACAGTCACATGTGCACACACACACACATTGTCAAACAAACATACACAGTCACATGCACATGGTCACACATTCCAACACGGAGTCAGGTGCACACAGTCAGACACATATTACGTAACATACAGTTACACACAGACCCATGCAAACAGTCACACACACTGCACATAGTCAGTGGTACATAGTTCCACACGCAGTTACACACACACACACAGTCAAACACAACACACATATTCAGAGGCAAACATAGACACTGTTACAAGGACACACAGCCACATACATTTACAGCCACACACACAGTTACCGCCACACACCGTTAGTCACATAACCACACAGTTACAAATGCGCACACACTGTTAAATATGGGTAGGTAAAAAAAAGGGATAACCAAGAAGCAAATAATTTGTTAGTATTGATACAAATTAAAATATGGCTGAACAGTACAGACCTAATATATGTGAATAGACAAAAGATTCAGAAAAGCTACGAACACTGGACGTGTTTTGCGTCTACATACAGATGCTTTCTCAAATAAATAAAGCAATTGAACACCGTGTACTAACAGACTAAGAGGGGGGAAAACACGCACCCCTGCACAGCATAATTCAATAACTTTAATTAGCTTGTAGCACACTTACACTGCCTTTGTTCCGATTTGTATTGGTAACAACTCCTTGTTTATACTAATTACATTGGGAGAGCCATTTATTTTTCCCTTATAATAAGGGGAAAAAACTAAAATTGGAACAAAGGTTACTCAAAAAAGAAACTACTTACAAAAGGTTCTCAATAGCTTTATATAGGACCCATCATGAAGGAAAGGAAGTAGCTTCATATTTATTGAAAGATGCAATTTAACCTCATTAAACCCATAACCAGTGAGGAACTCCACACAATAATCAAAAACCTGCCGAGAGGCAAAGCGCCAGGCCCGGATGGGCTGGACAACAGCTACTACAAACAATTTCAACACATCCTGGCACCCCACCTCGCACTCACATACACGGAAGCGACAAGGGAGCAAGTGTTACCACGAGACACACTATTAGCCCATATCATCACAATTCCGAAACCAGGTAAACCACCAATACACCCACAAAACTTCAGACCCATCTCCCTGCTCAATACAGACGCGAAAATATTTGCCAAAGTATTCGCAACCAGACTGAGCTCAATTCTCCCGAAATTAATTCATAACGACCAGGTCGGGTTTGTGTCAGGGAGGCAAGGAGCGGAAAACACAAGAAAAGTAATTGACATACTGCATAGCCTGCCCAAACTACACAAAGGGGGGGGATTGATCATGGCCCTAGACGCAGAAAAAGCCTTTGACCGCCTGCACTGGACATTCCTGGAAATGGTCATGATCAAATTTGGCATGCCGGAAGGGTTCAGGTCAGCGGTCAAGGCGATGTATAGTGAACCAACCGCCCAAGTTCTTAATGCAGGCTTCCTATCTGAGCCCTTCACCATCTCAAATGGGACGAGACAAGGGTGCCCTTTATCGCCCCTGCTGTACGTTATGGCGTTAGAACCATTAGCAGCCAGGATCAGACAACATGAATCTATACACGGTGTGAGCATAGGAAAGAGAGAATATAAGGCCAACTTGTTTGCAGACGATGTGCTGCTGACCCTGACCCAACCGCTGATCTCCATGCCGAACCTCCTAAAGGTAATAAAAGAATACGGAGACAGCTCGTATTACAAATTAAACGTATCAAAAACTCAAGCCCTAGGAATAGGGATCCCAAACACTATAATGCAAGTGCTGCAGGGACAGTTTGAGCTTGACTGGAGGACTGACGATGTCACGTTCCTGGGAATTAAATTGACGAAGTCAATGGGTAACATGTTTAAAACAAACTACGAGACCCTATACAGGGAACTAACCACCAGATTGAATGGATGGGGAGATAAATATTTATCCTGGCTGGGGAGGATGGCGGCGGTTAAAATGTCTCTCCTCCCCAGGCTACAATATCTCTTTCGGACACTACAGATAGAAGTACCGAACTCCTACCTACACAAAACTCAGACACTGCTATCACGATTCATCTGGGCCAATAAAAGGGTGAGAGTAGCGGCAAAATTCCTCTACAGGTCAACCCAAGAAGGGGGTCTGTCGCCCCCAAACGTTAGGTCCTACTACCAGGCGACAATACTGGCGCCAATGGTGGAAATGCAAACAAGAGACTCCACACCGCAGTGGTTAGACATAGAGGACTACTGGATTAAGGGAACCACACTTAGACAGCTCCTTTGGGTGCCCAAACAGATGAGGCCAAATCAACCCGACATGTTGCCAACTACAAAAACCCTGTTGAGAGCATGGGACAGGACTAGAGACGCACTGACATCCCTGTCCCCGTGGTCGCCAGCAGCACCGCTATCTAGCCTATCTATAACCAACGACACATTGGCGCATAGAGAATGGTCCCAGAGGGGATGTACACACATAAAGCACATAGTGGAAACACACAAAATACTACCATTCCCTGTGCTCCAGGACGAGTATCAGCTACCCCCTAGACTAATATTCTCTTATCTACAACTTAAATCCATGCTAGAAAACCAGTCAGTCACTAAAGGAGGCCCGAGCACACTTACAAAGTTTGAGCACACATGTCTGAACCCCAGACCCAAGAAAGGTACAATCTCAATGTGTTACTCACTCCTTATGGAAAACACTACGGCCCAACCAGATAAGTTTAGAGTAGCCTGGCAGACAGACCTGGGAAAAGAGTTTGATGCAAAACAATGGTCACAAGCTCTCACAGCATACAGAGGGAGATCTACCTGCACCTCGCATTTAGAACTGATGAGGAAGGTGTACTATAGGTGGTACATGGTACCGACCAGACTAGCGAAAATATATCCGGGAACGCCATCCCAATGTTGGCGTTGCGGGGAAGAGGTGGGAACAATGTACCATATATGGTGGACATGTAGGGAGATCAGACCTTACTGGGGAGAGGTAGGAGACATTATCAAAACGACAGTAGACAACAACACCAAGATCACCCCAGAACTATGTCTCCTATTTATAAACATGGGATCCCGACGTAACAGTGAGACAATCCTGACATACCACATCCTCATAGCGGCACTGACACTCCTAGCTAGAGAATGGAAGTCGACAAAGGCCCCGACAATACACACCCTGAAGAGTCAAATCGCCACTAACTTGAGGTATGAAGTGGCGACCAGACAATCACAAGGTAACAACCAGAGATTCAGAGAAGCAATAACTAGATGGGACACTCACCATAATGAGAAGCAGTAGAGAGGAGGCTCCAAGCGGACTTCCCACGATAGGTTCGAATCATACGACAGAAGTGGCCACAGGAAAACACAGGGGTACGACACCCATAAGAAGGATAGGGGACCCTGACTAGTGGGATGCAACTAGAAGTCAAATAGGAAGACCTCCTAGTAAAATACAGCCAGGCAGCCTCAAGGAAATACCAAAGGTGGCAAACCTTGAGCGGCAGATAGACAGGACATGGGGAACTCGCTTTACCCCCCCCCTCCTCCCCCCCTCCTCACAATCCCCGGTTTATCCCCGGTTTACCCCCTATCCCGTTGAAGAGGAGTGTAGTGGTAGGACATCAATGGACAACCACACCAAGAGCAGCGAAGCAACCGCAGAGCACGCACCACTCAGGTGTAGCGGACCAATTGTAGGTAAAGAGAGTAACATACATAGGCAGGGAACTCAAGCCCAGTAGACATGGAAGGCCACAGAGACTAGCCAAACAAAAGAGGGTATATATAGAGTATGCAATACCATGCCTAACACACAAATGTCAGATTGAAAAAAGTGTGTTTTATGTTGAACGCTCATTGTAACCCCTCCCTACTCTCTTCTGTACCCCAACTGTTACTTTATAAAACAATAAAAATTGTCAAATTGAAAAAAAAAAAGAAAGATGCAATTTAAATTAATTGAATTCAGTAATGTTATAGTTTTAGAAGGAGAAATACATTATTGTCTAAATCAGGGGTTCTCAACCCAGTCCTCAAGTACCCCATGCCATTCCAGGATTTAGGGATTACCCTGTTATTTCTAATGTGTGTTTTTTTTTGTTTTTTGTTTTTTAAACACGTTTAACACAACTGGGTTATCCCTAAATCTTGGATTGATTGGGGGTACTTGAGGACTGGGTTGGGAACCACTGCTCTAAATAATATAGTGTTTAGATCACACTCTAAATTACCTGTAAGTCCATAAGGTATTCTAGTTTGTAACGTGGAAACCCAATACATTTCTTTCTGAAACAGAATTTTCTGCAGATTGCCTTCTCTTGGACCAAGTCTGCATTTTTGGATACTTTGAAACATAAAAATAGGACTAGTCTCCTCCCATACATGATTTGAAATGATTAGATTATGTAGTTTGCGTAGCACTTTCTGATTTTATACTGCAAATATGTTCCACTATATAAATTTCTAATTTACGTTAACCTTCAGTGGGGCAGTTGATGATATCCATAATTGTATACTCATTGCTTGTAACTGAAAATACTATATACTTTTTACTATTTACATATGTGTAGTGATTACATTTACTCAGTGCACATTTATGCATACCTTCGCAATCAAGCTGGGTTCTACTTTGTTGGAATGTATTTGTTATAAATAAACTGGGTGACAAGTGTGATTAATTTTTTATGTAGACTTTCATGCACTACTTATTAATTTTAATATACATGCTGGGGCTCCTATTCTCGACCCAGGGAGACTTTTCGTATACTGCAGCCCTTCTCCTTATTCAGACTTGATTGGACCACACCCTCCAGTTTGGGAAGCAATAACTCAGACAGACACCAAGGTACGCTGAATTATTACTTCAATTTGTTAAAGGTAAATATACAGCTTATATAGGCTGCCCACTGACTGTTCGAGAATGGGTCGTGCATAAGTATACAATACAGGATCAAAACTAACTTCGTAACCTTATAAAGAAGAATTGACTAATTTAGAGCATCCTGTAAATATGTTCAAAACATATTTTCTTCAATTGCAAGGATGTGGTTCAAAGTGGTTTCCAAAAAGCCTTTAAAAGACACTTGGCAAAAAGTACCTAAAGACACTTAGCCAAAAAATACATATGTTTAGCAATCACTCCTTTTTTTTTTTTTTGCAATAATAAATACTAGAAAAATAATGGTATCAGATCATGACCGAAAAGGCCTGCAACGTAGTGGTTGTGTACGTGAATAGTGGGTGCTGCTTGTGGCCTCTTCCCTCTACGCCCTTAAGACCGCCTGTAAGGTGTAGTGCAACCCTCTATAAGGTAAGCTCATTGAGCAGGGCACTGTTCCTGTGAGTCCAGCTCATCTGGTTACAAATACTTGACCCATTGCACAGCGCTGCATAATTTGTTGGTGCATTGTTAATATTAATTGTATAGATTTTAGCCTATGCCGGATTAAATGATGCTGTAGAGGGGTGTGTCCCCTCCTCCCCAGCCTTTTGATACACGCTGTTCATTTATTTTATTTATGTTGAGAAAGCTTCTAATAGATGCAAAATGCATCCAGTATTTTCATAGCTTTTTTTGCTAACTCACCCCCCCCCCTTCTTACAGCTGCTTTTAGTTATTTGTTTAATTTTTTTTTGTATATTAGGTGTGTTCTTTACAGCTTTGTTTTATTTTGAATCAATAAACCTACTAGCAAAAGATTTGCTTACTGTATAGTTTTTTTGGGATATCTTCGTGCGCTGTTTTCCTTTTTTCTACACAACTATATTTTGCTATTTTGGGAACGGCTGTAATCAGCACCGAAAAACAGCACCTGCAATCGCAAGATTTAATTAAGTACAATTATTTCTTCTGTATCATCTATATTATTTGATTTATATTAACATGTGGATCCCCATTTTCAGGATAGCAGCACACCATATTTGTCTTATTAAACACACACTGTTACAGGCACACCCAGAGTCATAGCGACACAGTTACGCACACAGAGTTACAACCATACAGAGACTTAGTTACAAACCCACATACAGTTACAGGCACACACATGCACACATATAGTTACAGACACACACACAGGTAGACATGTGCAATTCGTTTTGCTCCGAATATGAATTTCGGGCAATTCAGACATTCGGGTACTTCCGAATGTTCGAATTGCCGAGGTCCTGAAGTTCCGAAATTACCAAAGTGTCGAAGTTCCGAAGCACAGTATTGCCTAAGTACTAATATACTTACCCATTAAACAATTTTAAATAAAAAGTATACAAACATAGCCAGGATTCAGCTGTAAGCATTTGCAACACTTACAACAATCAAGTAACACACATTCATATAAAATGTAAGTTACTTAGCCTGTCAATGTAATGACAGGAATGAAGAAGTAGAAAACTCCCTAATTCCCACGGTATTAGTGAGCTATCTACTAAAAGGCTGAAAGACCTAAATTGGTCTTTCAGCCAAATTTACTAATACTAAGTAAAGATGACTTAGTATTAGTAAATTATGCCCCTACCCGTTATACCGCGAGTAGGGGCATGTCTATTAAACAGTGAGCAGCCTGTGGCTGCTCACTGTTTAAAAAAGAAAAAGGGACCCCCTCTCGAGCTTTTAAACTAAAGGGGGGTCCTATTGCCCCCACCCCTGAGTGGCAGGTGGGGGCCCTAAATCAGAAAAGGGGGGGGCTCTAATGTCCTCCCCCCTGGCCTCCATCCCTGAGCGGTGTGTGGGGGCCCTAAATACTAATTAGGGGGGGACCTAATGTCCTCACCCCTGGCCCCCACCACTGAGCGGCGGGTGGGGGCCCTAAATCAGAATAAGGGGGGGCTCTAATGTCCTCACCCCTGGCCCCCATCCCTGAGCGGTGTGTGGGGGCCCTAAATACTAATTAGGGGGGGACCCCTGGCCCCCACCCCTGAGCGGCAGGTAGGGGCCCTAAATTGGAATAAGGGGGGGGGACCCTCTGGCCTGCACCCCTGAGTGGCGGGTGGGGGCCCTAAATACTAAGGGGGGGAACCTAATATCCTCACCCCTGGCCCCCACCCCTGAATGGGGAGTGGGGGCCCTAAATACTAATAAGGGGGGGAACCTAATGTCCTCCCCCCTGGCCCCCACCCCTGAGTGGCGGGTGGGGGCCCTAAATTGGAAAAAGGGGGGACCTAATGACCCCCCCTGGCCCCCACCCCTGAGCGGCGGGTGGGGGCCCTAAATACTAATAGTGGGGGCTGGGGGGAGGACAATATTGGTATTTAGGGCCCCCCCATTGGTATTTAGGGCCCCCACCCGCCGCTCAGGGGTGGGGGCCAGGGGGGAGGACATTAGGTCCCCCCCTTATTAGTATTTAGGGCCCCATCCGCCGCTCAGGGGTGGGGACCAGGGGGAGGACATTAGGTCCCCCCTTATTCCAATTTAGGGCCCCCACCCATCGCTCAGGGGGAGGACATTAGGTCCCCCCCTTATTTTACTGTAGGGCCCCCAGCTGCCGCTCAGGGACTGACTGGCACCCAGCCTAGAAGACCACGCAGAGAGTGCTCTCTGTAAGGTTCTAGTTCCCATTTACAGCGAGAGAACATCTAATGATTCACTAGTGCTGTACTGCCTGAGGGCAGTTGACTGATGTCCCATGAATGTGGGCAGTTTGTGGTCACATAGATTTAAAAAAAAAAAAAACCTTGTTGCTGAAGATCTATATGTTTCACTTCAGTTATCTCAACAGGCAGTGGTGGGGCAAGAAGATATTAATATATTTTTTATTATTTGTACTCCACACAGCACCCACCATATATAAAGAGAAAGTTCACTAGGGTAGTGCTCCACAAGACTACTAAAAAGGTAGACGTGCTCCCCCAGGTAAAATCTGGGGGACCTCTTTGAATACTTGGTTGTGCTGCATGTGCTTGTTCCTGGCTATACTTTATATGGGCTAAAGCCCCAGGTGGTTTTGAAACCTAGCAACACCCATCATCATCTGTCTCACTGAAGGGTACTTCGTAATGCAAAATGACATTTTTCTAGGTGTAAATGGGGAAGTAAGGAAAGGAGTTAATGAGGCTGAAATAACATACAGTGTCTTAGAAAACTGTAAGTTAATTAGCTCTGCTGCTGCGTTACTCTAAAGCCAAGGTGAGAGGTGGCGGTGAGGCAGCTGCCTAGAGATTAACTCCTAGAATTGATAATGTTCCGCTTCATGCTCTCTTACCTCACTAATGCTGATAGGAGGAGACATTATTGCAGGTGCCACCATTTGATTCTGCGCTGCTGTCAGATACTGTTCATATGTGGGGGAATTAGCAATGGGGTTCGCAAGGCAGCAAAATGCCACACCCTACAACTGATGAAGAGATGTTTGGTGAACGCTAAACTCTACATGCAGCCTTCTCTACCTTTGCAATTCTGAGATTGATAGAACAGAAAATTCATATCCCAACACTGGAAAGTATGAGATCGAAACAGGTGGTGACACTCATAATGGGCAGGCCTGTTTGGCTTGCCCCAACCTGCAGGACCAAGCTCTCTGCATGGTATTAGTTCCCATTCACTAAGGATGCGCTCATCTGAGCACTGTTCCCTGATATTCCATATATGCAGCAACATGTGGTCAAATAGATAAAAACCCTGGCTGAAGTTCAATGGTTAAATACAGTGGCAGATGGATAGCTATTCCACAAATGGGAGTCCATATAACTAGCAGGTGGGAAAGTTCTCCCTTAAACCCTTAAGGACCAAACTTCTGGAATAAAAGGGACTCATGACATGTCACACATGTCATGTGTCCTTATAGGACCACTATAGTGCCCTGAGGGTGCCCCCACCCTCAGGGTCCCCCTCCCACCAGGCTGGATGACGAGGAAAGGGGTTAAACTTACCTTTATTCCAGCACCGGGCGGGGAGCTCTCCTCCTCCTCTTCAGCTGAATGCGCATGCGCAGCATGCTTTCCTATGGACGCTTGCGTGTTCTCACTGTGATTTTCACAGTGAGAAGCACGCAAGCGCCTCTAGCGGCTGTCAATGAGACAGCCACTAGAGGATTTGGAGGCTGGATTAACCCATTTATAAACATAGCAGTTTATAAAAAAAAGGGGTTAATCCTAGAGGGACCTGGCACCCAGACCACTTCATTAAGCTGAAGTGGTCTGGGTGCCTAGAGTGGTCCTTTAAGGGGTTAAACCCCACTTGACAGGCTGTTTGCCTTTAACAGCATATAAATGACCACTACCGAGATGGCTGAGAAGCCTTTCTGCTGGAGGTACGAGCGTGTGTGCATGTGCTCACGGCTATCCGATGCTTCTCAGTGAGCTGTAATACAGCTCACTGAGAAGGGGTGCATGCTAGCACAGCCAAGGAGGTGATACTGCCCCCAAATAGTTAAAAGAAATAGGCCCCAGACACATGAAGCACTTGAGCAAGCTGAGTGCCTTGTGTGCGTCCCTTTAATCATTTTTGCAGAATGTATTAAAATCACAGAATGCAAATGGAATGTTTTATCACATACTCTATAATAAATTTCTGTGATTGCATACACTATATTGCAAGAGTACTTTTTTTTTACTAGTCATTATGACATCTGTCTTGTTAATATCATGATCACTGTCCTGGTGATGTATTTTGGCTTAGATTGACCAGGTCTTGACTACAAGGATGCAGCCGCCTGCTTAAACCGGGCACATTGCTAATGTGATGCTATGTATGACGATACAGACAGTGGGTGCTGAATAATATCTTAGCATTCGCTGTTTGTTCTAATCATTGCCACCAAGGGAAAGAAGAAAGGACAGTGTAAGTAGTTGCACAGCTCCCTTGCTTCCCTACAGTTACACACCAAGGACTAAATTCTGCTCTACCTCCCCCGGTGACATCATGCAGGTAACCTGGTGGGGAGACGAGGGAGGTTTAAATTTAATCTGTGACTATGTGTGATTGCATACCTATGTATGCATGTTATTGTGTGTCTATGTATGTACTTGTGTGTAATCTGACTCTGTGTGTAACTACATGTCTTTGCATGTATGTGACTGTCTGTGGTTTTGTATCCATACATGTATGTGATTGTGTATCTGTGTATGTAAACAACAGTGTGATTGCTTATCTATGTGACTGTGTGTAATTGTTTCTATAGATTGCAAGCTTGTTTGAACTGGGCCTTCCTCACCACTTTCTACAATTGTTTCTACAAAAGTGCTGTCGTTAGTAAACGTCCCAGCACCCACCAAGGATCCAATAGTAATTAAAAGAAGTAAAGTTCCAGCACTCAGTAATTTCAGATGCAATGTGTGTTTTTATTCAGTCCTCCCAAGTAACAGACAATGTTTTGACAAGATGTGTGTCGTTATCAAGCCATAATAAAGTGCATCATCCAAAGGTTTATAGCGATGCAGAATCCAATTGACAGACCAATCACAATCGGATTCAAATATTAAGCAATGTAATTAAAGAATTAATCCTCCTATTGCTAATGCAAGGATAAAAGAAAAACATGTTTTACTTTTAAAATGGAACCATGCCAGACCCCTTTGAGCAACTACTGCATAACGTGGATCTGCTCTTTTCATGATTCTTGCGAAACTGGAGGCTCGTAGAGCGGAGACATTGCACCAGTTATAGGAGGAAGGGCACAGCACCGACCAGCAGGAGGTGAGCGGAGCCCCTCCTGGCGCAACCCCCGTCCAGTATCTGGAATTACTCCACAAGGCCCACCTGGGTGTAAGACCACCAGGGAAATAATACCCCTGCATTTGCCATGAAAGCTGAAGAACCACCGCCACTGGCAGTGACGTACCACCAGGAGCTTCTGCTGACCCTTAAAAGGGAGAGACTTGGCCTCATGTTGAAGAATCCGAGTCTGTGGCCTTGTGATGCCGGTCTTCCTTAAAGCCCGGGGCTGGAGGGCTCCCACGCTCGACTCCTGCCTTGAAAAGCCCCCTGGCAGCCTCCACGCATCTCCAAACCTGGGAATAGACTGACAATGGACTCTCTGGACAGGGTTTACCTTTATCCCGATATTGAAATGTCCGCTACCACAATGCAATGTGTTTATCATGTTTTACTCTTTTTATGTTTTTCGTTATTGCTCTTCACCAATAACTCTACCTATGCTTTGGCGGGAAATCTTGTGCTCCCACGGGCAATGTAGCTATGATTTTAGTAGTAGGGGGTTATTCTCAATTATTGCCTTTGCGCAGTTTAGCATGTTTAACAAATTAATCGTCTTGGGGCATACTTATCACTAAGTTGAGCATATTACAATTCCGTACCTATAACCTGCAAAAGGTGGACTCGATGTCCCTTTAATTGTCATTAACCACTACTTTACTATGTACTACGTATCTATGATGTTAATTACGGACCTGGCTGTCTACCTAAACCTGACATCACTGTTCTATCGTAAGCTATCCCCTATATGCATAACAAGTTACATGTCCTAAGATGCGCAGTGTCACTCCTTCGACAATATTCGGATAAACTACTCATGTAAATTTTGTTATTAACTGTTGAAACGTCTTCTTATGCATGTGAACTTCTTATCCACAAACATAATTGTGCTGTATTATCTACTGCCCATTGCGGTTTACCTTTGTATGCCTATCCTCTTGCCACTGCTGTCGGGGCAGCGCAAGTCTGTCTGTTCCTTTGTCGCACAACAAAATTAAAAATTTACAAAAAAAAATATACCGTGAGGATGTAATCACCTCAATAAAATATGTACCTCAGTGCAGCAAAAAAAGGGGGTAAAATAATAATGTTTATATAATATTGTGATTATCAATTGAGAGAGTTCTTCTTAAAAGTGTAAACAAATATCAGAATCCATTCAAATAGTGGATGTGAAAATTGACATAATGTGCACATTAACTCATTTCAATGTAACAAAGTGTCTTATGCTGTATAACACAAATTTAAAAAATAACCAATGTTTGCCTTACGAACAGAACCCTCATTTATTGCACTTATCTGGTTAACTCTGAAGACTATTTACATATCTAAAAAGAAATACAACTATCAAAAATAAATTAGAAAGAATTTAGAAAAGAATTGTATTTTTTATTTTATTTTTTATTTTTGGAATGCATGAAAATATAACAAGAGGGCTCGTCATGCCCCAACAGCATTGACAAGTATATAACCAGACATATGCTAACAGTTGGTCTGCGTGTGGAAAGATCGTTAGCGTTCCTGTCTCACCGATCAATGCATAACATGCTTGTTGGCAGGAACTTTTCTAGACATGCTGGATGAAAGATTGCGGTCTAATAGAGAGTGAGTGCTTACTACGGAAAAGGTAGATTAGTTAGTGTGAGATGCCTTTCTATGTATAATACCTATTGAGAAATACTAAAATAATAAAAATAGTAAAATAATAGAAAATTAAACCAGCTTAAATCATGTAGCTAGTGTCTCCTGAGCAAAGGACAGTAACTTGTACCATGAGAGACTCCTAAGCAAATTCACCACTTCGTCATGACAGAGCATATTAATCAAGCTAGGCATAGCATTCAGTGTATTTCGAAACACAATAAATCATGCTGGGTGTTCTTGGGTGTGTGGCAAGGCTGGTACATGCTGTACAGTATGTATCACAGGCTAGGTTTGTGTGGGTGAATGCTAATTGTGTATATACATCACGGCAATGTGGTAGGCCCAGGAAGACACGGTCTCCACCTCTCAACCTATGTTGGTATGTAACATGGGACAGGCCCAGTGTCCCCAGTGCAGCTATGGCTGTGAGTGCGTGTGTGTCCCGCTGAGCTGGTATACGTCTATGCCAGATGTATGCCTTGTGTATGCATTTTCAAAGTAACTTTTAATCTCTGGCTATAGACATTTCACGTGTTGGCTAGCTGCCAATTCAGTGCCCATCCTTAACAAGCATACATATTTATACTATTTAACTAGTGGGCATGGGTAATACTCAAGTCTCCAAGATCTAGGTGTCAAAGTTCTACAGGAGCGGAATCATGCACAGGGATGGAGTATGGGCAGGCATGCTGGTTGTAGTAGTCCAACGTGCTGGCATTTTCGCCGGCTATCTGCGCTTTTGGATTTCAAAGTTCTGGTTCAGCCTATGCCCTGGCTCGGTTTCAGGCTTAGGGGGTAATGCATGGACAGGAGGCAGATGTCTAGCAATTCCTCCCCATAGCCCCGGGCTGTCGTGAAGGCATGCACTTCTTGGCTTCGTACCTGGTCACTCACATGGGAGGCCAAGGTCTTCCCCTGCAGGGGCCAGCTTTGGAACCCGGTGGATGGTCGCCGCCTGCGGCGTCGGATCTTCACCAGTGGTGGCCAGTGCTCTGGTAGTGCCTCCCCGGTGGCCTTCAGTGTGTTGTCATGGGAAGAACGCCCCGGGGGGTCTCTATCATTTTCCGCTTCTTTTCCAACCATATATTCCCCTGCAGCCGGTGCTTTAGGTGCTTCTAGGTTGGCAGAGAGCTTCTTCCAGAGAAAGTTGCATGCCTTTGCCTTGCGTTGTTGCTCACACTGATTCTGTTCCGTCTCCACGCCATAGTGTGCACGAGGCAGTTGGTAAGCAGCTATCTTGGGGTACACCTCCCAGCCTATGGTTCTCGGCAGGACGGGTGTTAAATCACAGCCGTGTGTAGCGGTGGTCGGCCATGGGAACCAGGATGACCCCCGCCGGTCCTGGGGGGGAGCAAAGCGCCGGTCGGAGAACTGGGGGAGTGGCCGTCTCACCCCAGCTCAAGCTTTTCTGGGCTTCAGGCCTCAATCGGGTTACTTTGATGCCGGTTTGTATCCTGGAGGGTATCTCCGTGTTCACCGTATGCTGTTGAGTATTGTGAGCGCCGATTTAGGGCTGTATCTGCTTGCGGCTCGCAGTTAGCTCCAATATTCTGGTCCAGGTGCAGGAGCTCAGACGAAGCACGTCTGGTCCAATCGGTGGTCAGGCTCCGCCCCGTATTTGGAAATTTTAAAGGAAAATCTTTAACAAAAATTGACAGATGAACTCTAAAAGTACTAGCAGTAATTACTCATTTTTTTTAATAATTAGTCATTTTTAGAATCTATAGATTTAACAAACCATCAACATACTAGTATTATAGTTAGGTCAGTAAAGATTAGTATCTCAACATATATATATAAACACAATGTGTCAATGAGAGGATCATAATGAAATCACTGTAATACACTGTACAGACATACCCCACTTTTAAGTACACCATGGGACCAGAGCATGTATGCAAAACTGAAAATGTACTTAAAGTGAAGCAATACCTTTTTTCACTTCCCAATGCATGTACTGCGTTGCAATAGTAATTACAGGCATAACTGATACTACAACTGCAGATTTCCAGTGATTTTATATCCAATGATTTATTTAGTGATTTCCAGTGGGCTTTTATTCAGTTAAAACAAACAGTAAAAAAATAATAATCTCATTCCAGATTGTACCATTTATCTTTAATGTTTTACTCATCTGATAATCTTAAACTGGGAGGAAAAGTAAAACAAACCTGCCCACTGGGCCATTTTCTGTCAATACGATGCCAATTTGTATTAGTTAGCAGCTTAGTTGTACGCTTTGTTTAGAAACACCTCTTCATCACTTTAAGCATTTCTGGTTTTTCTTTGTATCCTCAGAATTGTGGCTAATCCTGCTAAGTCATAGTTATAGAAAATGGCAGGGTAAATCCGTTCACTGGATGGCACCGATTGCAGAATATGGACAATGTATGGGCACAAAATATATATATATGTGTTCAGCTAGGAGTAGGCATTATAAATTTGAGATGATTAACCTGTGCCATGTCAGAAGGTGTGAAAAGTTCTTGCCCCAAAGACACTGAACTGAGATGCTTGGGGCGAGAATAGAACCTTCCATTTACTGTTCACTCGCGGACAGAGGCGCGGGAATGTCTGTACTCCGAGTGTACTTAAAGTGAGTGTATGTAAAGCGGGGTATGCCTGTTTATGCTTAAGTACTACAGTCGCTTCTGATTTATCAATATAAAATTGCAATAATGGACTAATTATCTTATCACATTTAAAACACTTTTATTAATTTTGACTTCTCAATTTTTGTTTTCAAATTCTTTGAGTACGACATTTTATGATGTTAATTCTTGAGCATTATTGTTCATACCAATGTGTATTATATTTAAACATCTCTCAAAGAAGACAATCTATTTGTCACTCAAGCAATGAATGAGCAACAAATACTATACACAAACAAAATAAAGATAATTCATGGTGCATGAGATTCTGAATAAAATCCACACAAATACAGCAAAAACGATCTCCAAAACGAAAATAACGAGGTATTGAATAAAGCGGACTCTTATTTCTTGTATGATCTCTGAAATAGAAAAACAAAATATAATTTTAAATTGTAAATAGATGCAAGTTAAGACCAATAGTATTACACTAATAATGATCCCTTTTTCAGATGAAGGGAGATAATTCCTGTGGCAGACCTCTCTGCCCCTGTATTGTTATTTTAAACTATTTTGTCTGTTTGTTCGCCAGTCCCCGGTTGTTCGTGTGTTTCCTGATTATATTCCCTAAGAGACGAATGAACTACTGAATGGCGGGCCACCCAGTAGGGAAGTGTGCTGCTTGTTAACCTTTCTGACCTTATTAACATTATGGAACACAGGACGACGGCCATCTTGGACAGTCGAACGCCCAGTGGTGTTCGTTTACAAATACTTGGAAATAATTCCGGACACTGTTTCCCACGAACACCGCTGAGATCACCAACCATCTATCGCGTCGTCGTGGTTCATACGAACGACGTGCTGTTCGGTATATTGACAATCCACAAATGGAGCTGAACCTAGATAGCTGAATGCTCATGCTTTCTGTGGAACTCACAATGAACAGACTTTCAGCTCCATGGCGATTTGACTGTATGTATGGGATCTGAGTGCTGTTCAGGTATATTGAGCGCTCAGATCCAAGCTATCTGGGGATATTTCGAACGTGGGGGTTCCGTTCGGTAAAATAAGACTTATGTATTTTTATGTGTGTTTACTGTTATTGTAAAATGGAGGACATTCCTTATCCCTGGAGGTAATTGAGTTACTTCAAGCACTTAACCCAATTATCTCCAGGATAGAGAGGAGGAGTTGTACTGTTTGTGTGGGAGTGTTTGCATTCTGTAACTTCATGTGATTGGTTACTGTAAAAATATCTGTCTTCCACAAGGTCCCTTTGAGAGTGTCCCTTGCTGGAAGACCTGCATAAAAGGCTGACATGTAGCCACCATTAAACAGATCCTGCTTGATCCTCAACACAGAGCCTCGTCTTGTGCTTGGGGGATAATTCGTATGATTCCTGTTCGGCACTTAGGAGTGTTCGGTAGCTGACTTCGTATTCGGGAAAAAGAACAGCTTTGGCGGCGTTAACCCCTTCACTTACCAGGGGTGCCGTTACAATTCTCAATCCTAATTTAAACTTCTGGCCACACAGTGTCCAGTTCCCTAATCCAGAAAATCTCTCTACGTCTTAGAAAGTCACCTCTGCACGGTTTAGGGACACCGTAAATAATTTAGACTTTTAATTGCGATATGTCTCGCTTCGTGGAAATGTGATGGAATGGGCAGTTCTAACTTCTTAGTTCTAATGGTTGATTTGTGTTGTGTAAATATTTGCTTTCAATTTTACTTTAATGTTGTTTCATCCACATATGTTAACCTGCATGGGCATTTTATTGTGTATACAACATACGTAGAGTTTCATGTAAAATTGTGTTTTATGAGATATTATCTATTTTTGTATGAAGATGCATGAAAATATTGCCCCGTATTGTCCCCTATTTACACGATTTTGGCCCAAGTAATTGTCATTTTAGTGAATCTCTTGGTTTAGTGTTTAGCAATAAGGAACAAACGTGCTTTAAGTTTCTAGACAACGTTGGTTAAACCGGGCCGTTTTCGGTTTAGCTAATTTCTGTAGCATGTTCACAGCACGTGATCTAAATCTATATCAGTTGACACAAGTACTCCTAGTTAGTCAGTTTAGGCTTCAGGCACTATTAGCAAAGAGTCTTAACATTCTTTTGCAGCTTTAGGTAGCTGTAAGTTGGTTACAGTTTGGAATTTTAGAATGCCTTCACCAGTGGCTACAGAAAGTAATTCTACCATTCATTAAGGGAGTGGAGTTGCTGAATAAGATGAGAGCAGCAATATTGTGGGTAAACTGTAAATGTGGCTTCGAAATGTGTTCACCCAAACCACGGATTCTCGGCTGAGTAGATGATGTGCAGACTTAAAAGAGCATGTGCTTGACATGTGCTCACATCTTTCATAATAATTTGTACGGAGAGAAAACCTCTAAAGTCTGGAAGAAAAGGAGCAACGTACAGCAGGAGTCATTTATTTTATTTATTTATGAGAAAGTGTGTCCATTGAGACATGGACAGGGGAATTCTTACATCATGACCGATTGTTACGCTACTTGGGTTATTTGGATTGGAACTCAACTGCTGCTTGTAGAACTCCTTAATTACAATGGTAAAGAAATGAAGAATCTTTAAAGTATCAATATTGTAGCTTTAATAAAAGAGAGGCTTGCTGGTAATTTGAGAATCAAACAAAGTTTTAATGATTGATAAACTTAAATGAATTGCATATAGGCAATAGTCCAATAAGAAGGAAGTGCAGGTTATCAAACAATACAAAGTTCATTAATAAGTATTTCCTCAGAGAAGTATTAAATAAGATTATTTAGGTTGCTGGGAATAATCTTCAATAGAAACATTAAGCAGGTAGCAGAGAGTATTTGCAAAGCAAGAAACAGTTCATAGTAAATAAGCATGATGGGAGTTGTCCTCCATATAATTAATAACTTGAAGCAGAGAAGATTTCAGCAAGCAGGAATTGGTTCATTAATAAATGATATTGCAGACAATAGTTGAAAGATATACTTAAGGTTAAGGTGAGGTTATAGTCCACTTGTAAATTAGCAAAGTATCCGTTCTCCAGTAATCCTCTATGGCTTGCAGCAATCCTTGCATTCGCTCAAAGGCTAGGACGGCTTGTCAGAGCTTGTGGAGCCGGCGTGCATACCCGGAAGTAGGTCCCACAATCACCAAGCGCCTTCTCCCTGGCGCGGTCTCCCTAAGTACGGTCAGAACCGCGTCAGAAGGGGGCGGGGCCGGCTCCGCAATGCGGAAGTGCCGAACCCGGAAGAGATACCGCATGACACCGATGGAAGTAGTATAAGTTGTTGTTTTTCTTGGTGTAAGCCTTTTACGTTTATTATTTTATGCCAATAAACCTGTTAAATTCATATTTCCTGTAAGAAAGTCAAATGTTTCCAATCCCAAACGATTCTAGTGGACATACTCAGATGGAATGCTTTTTTTACGGCCGCTCCCACGTCCTGCTGACATTAATACTGTGTACACAGGTGTCTCCGAATATGTGGGTGCAATGGCTGGTATCTGTGCAGACGTGTGGTCATTTATAGGGATATTTTTATGAATAGATATGTTTTTATGATTGTTACTTTTTCTGGATTGAATAATAGATGTATATTTTTCTTTTAAGGAGTTAAAACTATGTTAAAAAAATAAAACAAAAACATTTATATACACGATACACCCAAAGAACCATAACTACTACAGATCACTGAATGTCATGGGTGCCCTGGGACCCTCACATTGTATAAAGTCAAGCTGTTTTTAAACAATTTGATTTCTTATCTGGGTCCCGCTGCCACTAACTAAGCAGAAACTGTTAAGCCCTACATTGAACAGCTAACCTATTGAGTGGCTTTATTGATATTTAGACGGGCTACTCCTAGAATCATAAGCACTACAGTGGGCTGCGGTAATTAGTTATGATTCTTAAAGTAACCCTTTAATGTCTTTTCAATGGTGCATATATTAGTAAACGTGGGAGTCTCCTTTATTCAAACTACATAGTACAAACACAAATCAGGATACAGTATTTTGAGGCCAAGATGGGTTGAGTTTGTGCAATGGGTTAATGATTTTATTCAGTGGTGGTTCTCCTGTTGTTTCTCCTGTGGTCACCGATGCTTTCACAGCCAAGTTCTGGTGTCTTTATCTAAAACTGACTTAATGGCAGATCGCTGGAAACATTATTTTGATGGTGTAAATGTTGCTTGTTGTTCTCCTCCATTTAACAAAAAAATGCAGATTGCTTTACCTGGCGAACTGAAACGCTAACTAAAATAAACACAGACTGTAAGAACTCACTAAGTTCTGGGGTTAAAGAGCATTTTAGGATTAAGAACAATCAAGGACCCGAGATGGAGGATCTGATGAAAAACTAGACACCAGATAATCATGTCCAGGCACATATAAGGGCGAGACAGCCAAGAGTTTTACCTTGTTCTCTGTCCAAAGGAAGGATTTGCTTTAGCAGATTCTTTTACCTTTTCAAGTGTGTCTAATGGTGTTTATTTTTACTATTATTATACCATTTGCTATGCTATTAGGTACTTTACTTTAAGCTGCTTACGTAAAGAAAAGGTATGCTTACCGACACTCGAACCTTGCTTTAGTCATTGTTTCATAATCTTGATTCAAGTATTCTTAAAAAGGCTCCCTTGTCTACACTTTATTGAGGTTTTTGTTTTTTTTATATATTTATATATATATATATATATATATATATGTGTGTAATGTTGGTGGTCCTTGCACTCTGGCCAAATAATCAAAGCAATGCAGGGTGCTTGATGTATCTACAATATAGCAATAGTTAGCAGCACTCACGATCTTCTTAAAATCCAGTCTTTATTAGATCATATTTAAAGGTTCGACGTTTCAGTCCTATCCAAGGGCTTTCATCAGGATCAATACAAATTAACCATTTATATACACATGAGTAGAGTGAAATTAAACTCGCCCCAGGTGCAGTGTGTGATTGGCGGCGTTCCACTTGATCCTGGACGCGGGCATATACGCGTTCTGCCTCCTAAAACGTGACGTGATACCGTAAATGCGTGATTGAGTCACAAGCGTAGCCTTGGCGATGCAGACCAACAAGAAGGCTGCCATAGTAACCAAGGTCTCTCGCTTGTTTACCTATTGTGAAAGATGTGCTTATAGTGCTCTGCTGGGTATACTATTAGTATAAAATCCTGCTGGGAGTGAAGGATTTGTTCAAAGATGGAGGAAACACAGCCATAACGGCAACGGAATAAAGTGCAAATAGTGTCTGTCCTGCATTAAAGTGTCAGTCCTGGTAAAGTGCCAAATATACAAAGTGCTATGTGGTTACAAAGGGCCAAGTATCAAAAAAGTGCTATGTGATATACAAAGTGCTGAATCAAAACATGGCGGACTGTTACTTAATAGACTGCAGGGTTGGACTAGGAATGCAAAGCAGCCCTGAAATTTTTTTATGCCAGCCTCATAAGTCACTTTGCCACAGTAGTGTTTGTGTGTGTGTGTGTGTATGTATGTATGTATGTATGTGTGTGTGTGTATGTATATATATATATATATATATATATACACACAAACTCTACCGTGGCACAATGACTTATAGGGTTGGCATACATTTTTCCCCCATAGATTTTATATATATATATATATAATCTAAGTTTATGAATTAGAAATACTCAATCTGGGGTAGTAAGACGTAGCCATATTTTAAATGTTATAAAGGGATATTTAACATGCTAAAGAATATATACTTTTTTATTATTGGTATGTTCCTTTTTTAATTATAAATATTTGTAAAAAATAAGAATACTCACATGCAGGCACAGACAATCTCATTGACACAAGCACACAAATTCACTGGTACACAGGCTCACAGACAGGCAATCTCACTGACACACATACAAGATCATTGACAAACACAGACAAGCTTACAGGTACTCACAAGCTTAGTACAACAAAAATTCTCCCCTCCTGAGCCCCCACCCGTGACGCGCGAGTGGGGGCTTTTAAACTAAAGGGGGGACCTATTGCCCCCCCCCGGTCCCCACCCCTGAGCGGCGGGTGGGGGCCCTAAATACCAATGCGGTGGTTGGGGGCCCTAAATATCAAAAAAGAGGGGGACCTATTGTCCTCCCCCTCGCCCCCACCTCAGAGCGCCGGGTGGGGGCCCTAAATATCAATAAGGGGAGGACCTATTGTCCTCCCCCCTGGCCCCCACACCTGCGCGGCGAGTGTGGGCCCTAAATATCAATATGGGGGGGACCTACTGTCCTCCCCCCCTGGCCCCCACCCCTGCGTGGTGGGTAGGGGCCCTAAATAACAAGGTGGGGGGACCTACTTTCCTCCCCCCCATCCCCCACCCCTGAGCGGTGGGTGGGGGCCATAAATAAAAATTGGAGGGACCGACCTAATGTCCTCCCCCCCCGGCCCCCACCCCTAAGCGGTGGGCGGGGGCCCTAAATAAAAATGTAACCCCCCCAGGTGACTAGGAGTCCCCAAACCCCCTTGTCAACCCCCTTTCCCCATAAAAATAACCCCTACCTACCCCGCTCAAAATAATGAGAAGGATTCCTTATTGAAATACCTGTAAAAAAAAAAATAGTCTTACCATTTGATGTCTTCTTTCTTCTAAACTCTTCTTTTTCAGCCCCAAAAAAGGCCAAATAAAAATCCATAATAACTGACTTTGGAATTTTCCCACGCTGTGTAAAATGACACAGAGCACTTTGATTGATTAATTTCAAAACAACCAATCAAAGTGCTGTGACAGGTAAATGTAGAGACTTACCGGTCAGTCTCTTCATTTACCTGTCAGAGCACTCTGATTGGATGGCTTCAACCCACCAATCAGAGTGCTCTGAGCCTAATTGCAGGGCGGGGCAAGAACTGATAAGCCTTCCTCCGCCCTGCAGAGCTCAGTCTGCGCGGAGCCCTCCATGGGTGAAAATGGATTTTTTTATGCGCTCGTTTTTTGTTTTTTTTTTAAGTGCGTCTGTTATTATGGATTTTTATTCGGCCTTTTTCGGGGCTGAAAAAAGAAGAGTTTAGAAGAAAGAAGACATCAAATGGAAAGTCTATATATTTTGTTTTTGTTTTTTTACATGTATTTAGATAAGGGTCCCTCCTCATTAATTTTAGGATGTGGGGGGTAGGCAGGGGTTATTTTTTGGGGGGAGGGGGTGACTAGAGGTTTGGGGACCCCTAGTCACCTGCGGGGTTCAATTTTTATTTAGGGCCCCCACCCACAGCTCAGGGGTGGGGGCCGGGGGGAGGACAGTAGGTTCCCCCCCACACATTCTTATTTATGGCCCCCACCCACCACTCAGGGGTAGGGGCCGGGGGGGCAGGACAGTAGGTCCCCCCTTATTGTTATTTAGGGCCCCCACCCGCTGCGCAGGGGTGGGGGCCAGGGGGAGGACCAGGGCCGGACTGGCCCACCGGGATACCGGGAAATAGCGTGGCCGAGCTGCACTCTGGTCCGCGGTGGCCGGCCGGCCGGCCGGAGTGATAGGAAGGTGCACACTGAGTGTGCACTTCCTGTCAGTCCGGCCGGTTACAGGAAACAGAAACTCCTGTTCCGCGCGGAGTTTCTGTTTCCTGTAACCGGCCGGACTGACAGGAAGTGCACACTCAGTATGCACCTTCCTATCACTCCGGCCGGCCACCGCGGACCGGAGTGCAGCTCGGCCATGCTACAGGGGAGG